AACGGAACGAACTTAGTTCCGTTCAAGTTAAATTATTCACCTAAGTAATTTTTACGATGTCAAACATACTTTAAGAAAATCTTAGGAAATCACTCTTATCAAATCCTTTCAGTACCTACTCGGAGATAACTATACTATTTCTAAACGGAGCCTCCAAAGGGGAAGCCAGGCGGTACTGCTTAGCCCTGGACTCCATTGTGACCCTTCTCTCCCGGTCCCTCTCCCCTGTCATCTACTCTTACTCGCTCAAAGACTTCACCTTCTTCTGTTTGTCCTACGTTGATGATAACTTGTTCCGGCCTGTGTTTAAGGGTGTGGCTATGTTGAAGGTGAGGGTGAGGGTGACTGTTAGAAGGGTCCAGGGAGCTAGGATAAGATTACCAGAGTTTATTTTGTTGAGTGATGCTATTCGAGCTCGTGCTTCCAGTGAAACTGAAACTACTCTTTGATGGGATGCAGTGTATGATCCTGTATGATATTTAATAGTTATGATATAGCAGTGCCAGTAGTCCCACTACCTTAGTATTGCTGTACAACTACTACAGTTATGATGAGTTGAAAAGTAATGTAGGGATTGGAAAGTTCATATTTTTTTGAAAAGGTCAGAATTTTTTAATGCAATGGCGTTTTTTATTCTTTATATTCATTCATTTTTTATTTATCTATGACCTATGTACATAATTTGACCAAGGTTCCAATATATTTTCCATTTGACGTTTTATATTTTGATTCAGACTAATTATCTGAACCTCTTAAAATGTTGCTGTTTTAGCAAAAAGTACCAGATATTTGATATTTGATTTTCAAATTTGTATTTTTGACAATGTTTATACTCATTGATGATGATTTCCAATTATATTACTTTCAGTTGTTGTGAATAGTTTGATGAAAATTTTTTACGTGATGTTAATATTTAATTACTGATTTTCGATCATTTGATTCGTATTTTTAACTTTTAATAAATTGTACATATCAAACGATATACAGCGAAAAAAATTGCAGTTCAACTAAATTGTGGCTGATTATTTTTTGACGAACAAAATGAAAAGAGTATCTATTTTAGATCAATTACTTACATGATACGAATTTTGACTGATTAAATTTTGCCTTTGTTACAATTTTTACGTTTGAGTTATTAAACTATGATGATTATATATGAATTTTACCTGATAGAGTGCTTATCTTAAAGTTAAATGTTTTTACAGGCTCTAATGATGTAGTTTAACGAAGATTTCAAGCCTTACCTTGTGTGTTTCCCTTCGTGTCCAAACGCATTATATCTTAGATCATAGATGATTTCATGACATTAGGAATTAGCTACACACAGCTACAATTACACAGTGATCGCAACGGAGGAGAAATCCTTTTTCTCTCCTGGGCCCTGGCTCACCCAAATAGATGTTGTGTGATGATAAAGTGATAAGTTAGTGCAACAGATTCCAGATTCCAGAAGTCTATGGTTCGGTGCAGTCCTTATTTCTAATTCCTTTACTTAGGGATCGTTCACATATTACGTAAGCAGGCAGCAGCCGAGGGGGGGGGGGGGGGGGGGGTTTCCAAATGATTACGCTAGTGTAATTTTGACACAATTGCAATGTGTAAAACTGATTACGGAGGGAGGAGGGGGGTAGACTTACTAAATGTTATATTCTGACTCGCTGGATCTTTCTGTTGAATTGCGAGGAAGTTGAAATTAAGGAAGGGATTTGGGATCAGGAAATTGAAATTCCTGGATGAAATTTTATCCCTTCCCTTGATGAAAGTTTTGATTGAGTCGATGATGTGCAGTCCATAATATTCCATAGTTCATTTTATGTTCTCTCCATCATAGATTTGCGAGTTTGATATTTTGTCTAAGATCTGTATCTTATTCTTTAAGTCTGAATGGAAAATATAAACGAACTCTTCGATGAAAAGCCATTCGAGAGTGCGTTTATGTTCGTCGCCCCGATAAACATTCCGCTATGTGTCCTAACTGTAGCTGTTTGTTTCACAGTCTTGATCTACTACTGGCGGAACCGTGGAACGCTCACAAACACACTATTTCTTTTGATAACAACAGCAGATTTGGTCACGTGTTTGGGTCACCTGATCCTGATGATATGTGTTGTACTGTTGCACTATGAAGCTATACCTCCTGTTTCTGCTACGGTATGTATGGTGATACACACGGTGATGTCCCTTCTCGGCTACGCCTCATCAGTTCTCTTCAAGGATGGTAAATGCGTTTTGGGGAGACTACGCGTAGATACTACGCATACGTATTTCCCGATGATAAATTACGTATTTCAAATTAAGTTGCAGTAACGCGCGAAGATATATATATAAATATTACATTACAGTATATGGAATCGTGGCCTAATTGGTTAATACGCTAGCTCCATATCATCAGATAGCGAGTTCGAGACTTGGATAGGATCATTTTTTCCCATACTTTTGGCAATTATGAATAACTAATGAATAACTAAAAATACCTCTGTAATATAACTAGCAAGGTGAAATGAAATCGTCTTCCGGCCGAAAAAATTATTATAGCCGTTTTAAAAATTTATTATAGCCGTTTTTTCTTTCCAGGCTGGATTCCTAGTCACTTTTTAAATTTATGCCACTGGGAAGTCCGTGTTAATCCGGTAACCGGTTTCAAAATTCAAGCAAGAGAGACTTGTGATCTTAGTCTGCGAATATTGTAATAGATAAAAATGCACTGGAACTGGGTCTCGGTTGAAAGTCTATTCCTCGAGGGAGGCATAACTGCTTTATACCCTTAGAAGCTCTGCTTTGCAGCAGACTGACTGATTGGTTGGTTCAGCATAAGAATAGCAAGTCGCTGCAGCGTTTTCATTCGAGCACCGTAAAGTCTCCAAAACGACTGTCAGTATTGCTATATACCACTGAGCCAGCGACGCACGCGCAAATATCACTAATCTGTAATCACGTATTTCCATAGAGATACGCGCGTATTTTGAAAAATTTTACCATCAAAGAATTTAAGCGCCAAATTTTGCCGTATTTCACGTATTTCTTAGAATTTTTGAATACGGCGTATTTACAGGCGATTTTTTGACGTATTTACCATCGATGGTTCTCTTGAACATGATACTTGCTGTTTTAAGAACGGTAAAGCTATCATTCCCCTTCCATCAGGTAAAATTTGGAGTTCTGAAGATAGCGATGGCTCTTTTCTTCGGTTTCCTAGTGTTGTTGTGTGTTGTTGACGTTTGGTGTATTGTTCTCGACGGTGGACTGGATTTGTACTGGTATTATATGTGGGAGAATGTTGTGCTTGCTTTCATTGGTCATAATTTGTGTATCTTCCTTGTGTTGGTGGGAATGATAACATGGAACGAGAACGTAGATAGTGAGATAGTGATATTAGATTGCCAAGTTGGATTACTGTACCTAGCTCCTATAGGGGTGGTTATGGTCTGCCTCCTGGTCCAATTTTCAATCACTCGGATCAGAGCACGTGCACGCAACCCTGATCATCCAGTGGTCACTGATTGGTCACATGTGAATACCACAGTTTTCATCCTCTCTGCTGTTTTCTTGGTCTGTAACTCAGGAATAGCAGTCCTACAGATCTACTTCCAACATTATATGGACTACTACATTGAGGATCCCTTTGCCTTGCTGGTTTGCAAATTGATGATCAGCACCACACTACCTCTGATGAACGCACTTTTGACACCACTCATCATGATATCTAGAAGTCAGGAGTTGAGGGGGAAGGTTATGATGATGCTCAGAGGGACTGTTTCAGGGCAACGACAGTAGAATGCTGAAGACTGGGCCGCGCTCAGCCTGTAATTCCGCCGAATCTCCATTTATGAACATGATAGCCTGAGGTCACCAGGTAACTTAAAGACTTGTCTCTTCGTTATGATGAGTTTCTCACGTGTTGACTGTTGACGTGATGTACTAATATACTATTTTGTTTCGATCTTTAGTGAAACAAAATTTCGGAATTAAACGAAGTGAGTTGCGATGTACCGGGTACTCAACATAGCATTGACTCTGAACTTCTTTCTGTGTTTTTTCTAATTTTTTGGCTCTTCTTAATTCTTTTTATTATCCATACTTTGAAGGGACATAATTAAGAATAATTATGATTAGATTGATATACCACGATATTCATGATTAAAGATAAGATTATTTTAAAACTTTCGTAAAATTGCTAATTTTATTTGTTTTACTGCACTTACAGACACTAAACAGTTTTCACTACAAAAATGTGGCAAATTCCATATTGAATATCTTCCTGTTAATTGATTAGCTTTGCGTTTCTTATAAAACCATTTTAATGTCCTCTTTAAATTGTACACTTCTCTCACTGATTCTCTAACTCTTACAACTCTATTACCAAGCTATGCTGAAGCAAGTGATTGTAAAGCCACAGCCACCTAGACTGCCGAGGACGTAGCTTATGACAGTGTTTCGGGAGATGCTGAGGAAAATGTGACTGAGGGGGAGGAAGCGGGTGAGTAAAATTAAAATATGCTTATATAAAAATCACACTTGAAACGGGCGAAGGAGCGACGACCAACGTTATGTCACTATAGTGATCCTGCCACTGTAGTGATAGTACCATCACCATGGTGCCACTGTACCATCACCATGGTGCCACTGTACCACTGCCAAGTGCCAACCACAACACCAGTAAATCCACTTCAGTCTTAAAGTTAATTTTAATCGAAATGATCAGATTAAGACTATTTTTTGCCTACCAAATTAACCTATTGTGTATCATCTAATCAAGTACATATTATGGTGTATATTATTTTTCTTGTCAAAAATATATCATGTGAATTGAGTTTTTAAGGTTTTGCAATTTTCAGTCGGATGAAGTGGTTGTACCGTAGCTAAAATTACCGTAGTAGACGAGCTAGAGTAAGGTTGCAGGTAAACGTTTTGATTCATTTCAATGCTCACCTGCAAGGGTGAGGCCTCGGTATGATGGAGTCCAGCCATCTCAGATTATATTCACAAGAAAATACCATGGTGATTTGTTGAAATTGAAATTAGAAGGTCAAAATAATTGATCAACTAAACAATTTTTAAAAGCTATCTGGTAAAATTAAATCTGAATACATCTTAAAGAAATAAACTCGGATCTGTTCATCAGCTACCAAATGTAACCAAATGTAACCTACGTAGCAGTGTCGTAGCTACTTGAAGAACATTTTTCGTTAAATCGATAAGAAGTTGAAGTTGGTTCAAGGTAAAATTAACTTCTGTCAGATGAGGAATCTATAATCTATAGTTTATACACATTACACACTAGTGAGGTATCTACACACTGCACACACCTACTTAAATCTAACCAGATCAATGCACAAAATAGTTTATCTGATATTATACGATATCAATATGTGTAATAATAATTCTGAATTGAAGCATAATCTTAAATAAATATCAGACATCATATTTTGAAGCGACTGTCTGTTTTACAACTGTCTTCTTAAGTTTGTTCCCTTTTTTGTTCAACATCACTCCTCTCAAATTCTCTTTCTTGCTGATGTGCCGCGTTCCAACCGGCACCTCTTTAGATCCTGGCAATAATAAAACATAACATGTTTAAAGCTTTAAAATTTATCTGTCATTTGGTAATATCAATTTAATGGCTGCGCGCCTACGCGCGCACTATATTTCAGTCAATGAAGATGAGAAAATTAGACTTTTTATATATTTATGACATGCGGTATTCGCGGCTGATATTAGACGCATGTCATACGAGCCTACGAAGCTTACTAACAAAGAAGCACGAATATACTCCATGTCTTAGACTCAAAGTGTCACTGTTGTCACATTAAATATTTATAACAGACTTACCAATCTTAAGAGTTGGATTGGAGAAATCGTAGGACCTGAAATGATGTATGTAAGCTATATGAGTACACCATTATTATTGCTGTGTTGCATGAATTAACTTCAGGTTAATTTACTTAAATCAATGATTAATGAAAGATTAAAACATGTGGTCCCCATTCACCATATTAAATGTCACATCACGACAGGGGACCAGTCAAACACCCGACTCAGACATTTAATCATCAAATTAAAGTTGACATCAATCTTGAATCTTGATGTGTTATACCATGAGAATGTTCTAGATGTCCAATGACACACACACAGATTACACTTGTGATTACCTCATCAAAGCATCAACTTCATTGATGTGATCCTTCTGTATTATTGGAGCTGGGCGGACTGAAGTGGATCCCTTGTCAGCGTGAAGATGTGATTCGTCATTCATCCTTTCATACATTGTCTGCATCATACACGCCTGGATATTATCAACTGTTACCAAACAGCTATATTATTATAATACGGTAGATTAAGTAAGCCACATACTAGACACCTATTACAAGAGCTGGGTAACAAGCCAGTATTTCTGATAATAACACTTGATCTACCTGTTTGGAGAAGATGGGTACGGCGGTGCTTGTTCGTTTAGTGATACGTGCAACAACAGTGAAGTTTATCAGCCACACATCAAATGGGATCTTCTTGCCATTTTCTCCTTTCTCTTGATTGTCTGAACAAATTCAATTTAAAGATAGATTTCAGTTTAATAGGAATTTCAAAAATCAATTTATACGCAAAAAACAATTATACGCAGATGGTAAATAGACACATGGAAATGACGAGGATTCCAATCAGGTGACTTTGTAACTTGAGTCGTGAGTACAACTATAAATTCAATATCCTATACATTGCGTAGTCGATAACCACTACGTCTATTGTAGCTGACTGGAACCACAGGGTACTCAGGGAAATCCAGTCTAAGATATATATAAATGTTAACTCGTTAACTTTCCTTTGAAAAAAATAATCGAATTTTACTCTTACTTTTGACGAGTTTCGTATCAATTTCTTTGTTGTCGAATTCGGCGATGGTTTTCTGAAGATGTAAAGTTGAAATAAAATAAAAAGGAATATTCTAAAAATAAAATATGGAGGAATCAATTGTGATTTTGGATATGAACAAATTTTAAAGTTTAAACTTGTTCGATCTTGTTAGAACCAAGAATAATATCTTAAAGGTGAAAATTGAAAAGATTTAAAATCTGCTTTGTGAGTTGCGAGTAATTGATTGACGGATTTGATGATCTTGAAAGTGTTTCTCGAGCAGCTGCTCTTTAATGTGGAGTATACGATGTTTTGTAACACCGGAAATAACGGAATCACGTTAAAAGTCACATTGGGAAATTGTCAAATTGGCAAATTACCCAAATAAGTTTTCATAATTTCTGGGAGCCTGTCTTTACCGGACATCTTGTACAGTGTTCCAATATACAAGATAATACAATAGTTTACTACTCAAAGACAGGTTTGAAACTTCTTCTTAGGGGCAATTCTACACAACTGAACAAAGGAACCAATTCTTGGCTGTATCATTTTTTCCGCGTGTACAATTATTTTGCTTTTGGATTTTCAAGCTTACCGTCAGTGGCGTAACGTTGCCTGTTGCCCTAAGATGGCGCCCCCGCCCCCCTCCCCCCGCACAGCAGTAGATCGGCGGGGCCCTTCGTTACGCCACTGCTTACCGTTCGTTATATTTCTATCGAATCATTTGAAATTATATATTACCACTTGCTATCCAGTCGAAAGCTTTAGTGTCAGTTCAAAGAAATCGGTTATGTGTTAATGCAGTTTGAAATCGTGATCTTAAAACCAAATGTTCACTTATTTCAGAACTTCACACACTAATTTGAAAGTGTCACCTCACATTATTCCTATTTCGTTAATGTAATGCAGATAAATCCGCATGCATTAACAGATTGTACGGTGACTCATAAAGTGATGAAGAATTGAAGCCGCAAAATCGAACTGTTCCGCAATTATTTACTCCATTTTACCCCATCCGCCATCGATATTTTACTTATAACTAGCTTATAGTGTTTGATAGCGGATAAGTTTCAGATAAAATTATATGACAAGAATCTGCTTTGGTAGATAAAGAATTTAAAGAAATATTAGTGCTTAATTATCATAATTGCTTCATTGGTGATGGCTAAACAGCTGATAACTCACAGTCTGAAACTTAGTTGAAGAAATGTCCTTCACCGGTATCATTTGAATAAGGTTCTGAATAAATCAGTAAATTAGTTTACATAAATTGTACACCAAACTTCAGTCGTCCACCACCCTCAGGGCAGCTTAATCAGACGTTCTACAGACAGAACTACAATGTTAGCTAGAGGCAGACCGTGTTTTATAGAAGTGTTGAGGTGCACTGCCTCCGCGTTTATACACTCTGTATTATACACACTGTCTTATACACAAGCTCCTCGAGTTACACGCAGTAGGAAGTGTGGTGATGTAACCACAATTTATAGTGAGGGAGAGAGAGAGAGGGGGAATAGTGCGGGGCTTACAGACTCTCTTACAATTACATCATTATATCTGGCGTGAAACTTAGTGAAACTGAGTTTGAACTTGACGTTCTTAGATGAATTTTGTCTGAGTAAATAACTGCAAAGCCACCATATCTACCCACCCATCGGTCTAATAGCTTATAAGTGAGTTATAGCATCACCAGTGGCACAACTATAGCGCATCTACCAGATACCTCTAGTTTGACGAATGCAGCGTGGACAAATGCTGATTAAAATCGAGGAATAAATAAGATTACACTAATTGCAACCCAGACTAACGATAAGTAAGAACATATGATCAGTAGTAGTATTATATCAGTAATCAGTATATTATGTAGTAGTAAGGATAATACATACGTTGGTAACTTTATTCCAAATAAAGACGTTGTGGGGGGTTATACCAACTCTAATCGGAACATCCCTCCTGTGATTCTGTACCTCAGTCTGTCCTTGGAAGAACGCGCATCTGGTGTAAATTTAAAATTACTGCATTATTGATTAACTAACTCGCCAATTATTGAATTAAATTGGCAGATACTGGATAGTATAGATATCATTCAAATATCCTGTCTACTTGTAGGCAGATATCTTTGAAAGACCCGTCTACTTGTAGGCAGATATCTTTGAAAGACCCGTCTACTTGTAGGCAGATATCTTTGTACCCGTATGCAGAGGCCGTTTTGAGAGCCTACTCTTTTGACCTGTAGGTAGATAATGTATAATACCTGTAACAAGTCTGAGTCCAGATATGGCTGATGTACATGTGATCCAGTGTACCGGGCGTGGTCGTGTTCAAGTCGTTCAGATGAGATCTGATCCTCTTGTCGATGAAGAGAGGTTGTTTCTTCTTCCTTTTTATGACGTCCCATGGTAAAATCTGGTTCGCTATGTTCCTGAACGTATCGGTAAATTAGAATCGACAAAACATGTAAACTAACGGCCAGATTTAGTTTGATTTTCACCCAGCGAAAACTTTTTTAAATGTGAACAACAAAATGGTTAATAACAAAGTGTGTTCAAAAATCAACATGTTTAGTTATAAAAGAAAAATTCAACTGAATTAAAATGCATACTGGAGCGAGCCGGGAGGAAAGTTGTGGAGTTTCTTGCCCTCCATCTTAAGTTGAAGAGCAGCTAGTTTGTAAGCCAACTCGTCTTCAACTGGGTACCTCCCAGTTAGGAAATTAAACATCGCCTGAAAAAGTTGCAGTTACAATGTTTTTATGAAGTTGGGCTTCTTAAAAACAGAGTTCCAAAGTAAAGAGTTCCAAAGTAACTGAATTAACAGAAGACATTGATAAATTTTATGGTAAACTTACCTTTTTAAAAATAAAAATTGTTCCTTGACTTAAACAATAGCTTTATAAAAAGACGCTCCCAAATCTTACCTCAGCAGTAAGATAGTATCTAGCTTGAGAATCTTTCTCCACTAACAGTTTCTCTTGACTGAGCGGGTAAAACACATTCCTCATCAACATTATTATCGGTAAATCTAGGAATCAGGAAATTAGTTTTAGGAGTGAAACTGTGCTGTTCACAAGTTGTTAAAGCACGCTATCTTGCAGCATTGTGCTGTAGTTTCAACGCACTATTATTTTATTAAACATTGTACAATTTGAGGTGTAAATACAACAATTAATCGTAAGTTAAAGTTATAATAAGACATCGTGTACAAAAATGAACAACCAACATAGTTACTAACGGATATTAAGGTTACACGGATTGCAGCGACCATAATATATTAATCAGTACAAACCATTATTTGCTTGTCGCTCACTGACGGGAGCAAATTGAGCCAGCAGATCGTACCACAAGTCACAGATAGCGGTCGGGTAATGTGAGGGCTTTAGTTGTAACTCTGAAATTATAAGTTATAAAGCAGTGGTATAGTAAAATTAAGCTACATAGTTTATGCGTTCATAAGGAGGGAGGAAGGAGGAGGGAGGAGGGAGGAGGGAGGAGGGAGGAGGGAGGAGGGAGGAGGGAGGAGGGAGGAGGGAGGAGGGAGGAGGGAGGAGGGAGGAGGGAGGAGGGAGGAGGGAGGAGGGAGGAGGGAGGAGGGAGGAGGGAGGAGGGAGGAGGGAGGAGGGAGGAGGGAGGAGGGAGGAGGGAGGAGGGAGGAGGGAGGAGGGAGGAGGGAGGAGGGAGGAGGGAGGAGGGAGGAGGGAGGAGGGAGGAGGGAGGAGGGAGGAGGGAGGAGGGAGGAGGGAGGAGGGAGGAGGGAGGAGGGAGGAGGGAGGAGGGAGGAGGGAGGAGGGAGGAGGGAGGAGGGAGGAGGGAGGAGGGAGGAGGGAGGAGGGAGGAGGGAGGAGGGAGGAGGGAGGAGGGAGGAGGGAGGAGGGAGGAGGGAGGAGGGAGGAGGGAGGAGGGAGGAGGGAGGAGGGAGGAGGGAGGAGGGAGGAGGGAGGAGGGAGGAGGGAGGAGGGAGGAGGGAGGAGGGAGGAGGGAGGAGGGAGGAGGGAGGAGGGAGGAGGGAGGAGGGAGGAGGGAGGAGGGAGGAGGGAGGAGGGAGGAGGGAGGAGGGAGGAGGGAGGAGGGAGGAGGGAGGAGGGAGGAGGGAGGAGGGAGGAGGGAGGAGGGAGGAGGGAGGAGGGAGGAGGGAGGAGGGAGGAGGGAGGAGGGAGGAGGGAGGGAGGAGGGAGGAGGGAGGAGGGAGGAGGGAGGAGGGAGGAGGGAGGAGGGAGGCTACTCACGAAGTAAAGGGGAACAGATCCAGATAGAGAAAGCTTCAGCTCCATCAGAGGTAATCCTCAGTTTCCTGCACACAGCATCTCTGAGTTCACCAGCGGACACCTCATCACACTCCCGTCCTGCTGTGATCTTCTGCTTCTTCTTGTCCATTAGTACCACCCATATCACCGCTGTAAATATTAACAATTAACAAAATATTAACAATCAACCTTAGATGTTTGATTTGCTGACCTTTCTGAGATTCTCTTAAAACTGCCAATATAAATGGGTGCAATATAATTAAGTATGTTCACATGTTTACCAAATACGTGATCCACCACCCCCGCGCTCTTATAAAAGTGTAAACAGGGAAGCTTCAATTTACTCTATATATTAGGAATTGTACACTTGTTATATAGCTTTCGGTATTTTCATTTGGATCCTACAGTTCTGATCTAGTTTTGCCATGCCTCGGCATACCGTAGTTCGATATGTTTTCTCCCCTTAAGTCAAAGTTATTTTTTACTCCGAAAACTTCGAGTTTAGTTGTTCCTCTCGAGTATCTCTAATTCTAAGGACGATATCTTTTGTTTTGCTGTAATCTTATCTAGCTCTTGACTGGTTGATTACTGATTAAGTAATGTTTTGTTGGCACTCACCCAAACCAGCTTTTTTATGTCTGATCCTGTAAACAAACTTGTACTACTTAGCAAACAAATAGTTATGTTTGAAAGTTCACTATTATTTCACTATGTTCAAGGTACCTGCATGCTCAATAGGTTCACAGACTTGAATCAAACAGTTTATGTAATACCTAAAAGAAAGATAAAGATTGACTATAATGTATAAGATTTCTTGAAAACGCAAAATTGTAAATTGTTACCTTTAATGTACATCAATACTCACTAGTCAATATACACTAGTCAATACATTGCTTTGATACTTTACTATTACTCTCTGAACCCTATTCCATGATTTATATATTTACTCTCTAAACTACAAAACATTCCAACACTAGGCTCTCTAAAACTGCAAGTAATCACAACTACAAGATGGGAGACAGTGCACACCAACTCCTCATTGACCCCAGCCAAACCAAACAAGCTCTCCGAGAGTATGATACAACCAATCCTGTTTGTAAATACGTGGTGGCTATCATCTTTTTCATCTTGTGCTTCATCACAACGCTCATCACTATCATGTATTATGTGTTTAACATGGTGATGGAGGATATCATCCAGGAGGACTCTTAGAGAACTCTTAGAGGGTGGGAGGAGCTAGTTAATGCTCTTGAGTAATGGAAAGCGGACAGCTTATTGGATAAATATCAGTGTATCAGTGTTCAGTGATATTTGTGTTTTAATTTGTTTTCATCACTCGCTTATTATTGACCAGATGCCATCTTGGACTGATTGATTCAATTTCTAAAGAGTGAAAGATGTGAGACAGGAGCCAATACCCTCACAATAACAATGATTACAATGATTACAATGATTACAATGATTACAATGATTACAATGATTACAATGATTACAATGATTACAATGATTAAAATGATTGCAATGATTACAAGAATTATGATGATAACAATGATTACAATGATTACAATGATTACAATGATTACAATGATTACAATGATTACAATGATTACAATGATTGCAACAGATTGTTGCTCTTACTATTGGACAACTTCAAATACGAATTGTTATACTTTTAGTAATTTATCAGTTCTTTAAATCGTTGTAAACTTTCTTCAATGGCCACGAGCAAATAAAGAGATAGTTATTTGTTTTTGTATCTGTAGCACAACTGTAACTTGATCAAAATATGATCCTTATGATGATCTATTCCTTTAAATATATAACATAGTAAAATAAGTTAATGACTGTCTCATAAAATGTTGGGGACTGATCAACAACAAATATCCAAAAAATTAATGGTCAAAGGCCGCTGATAGTCAAACTGAGATGGTCTTAGACTTAATGTCATGTCAGCAATCCATTTGCAGGACCAAAAAAACCTGAAAATTTGGAAAGTAAAATAACTTAACTATTAATAATGAAAGTATGCACTCAAAAATGTAACTTACACTTAGTTTTGCTGACCCTGGAAGGTTTGCTCATCATGACTCTAACAGACAATAACACAAGAAGAGAAACACTACATAGAACACATAACAATAAGGGAAGTGTTATTAAATGGGTGATTGGCTTACAATACCTGTTATATTTGACTGTCATGTAAAGGCCACGTGACAAATCACATGTACAGGGCACGTCATATTTTATTATATTTGAACTGGATAGGATTCGGACTGGGGGCAAGTGTGGAGTATATTTTTAATAGTTTTGATAAGGATTCAAATCGTATGATTCAAGTAAAGATATTTAAAAATCTATTTACTCACATTTTATTTTTGAACTCTTCTCCGCCGACATGTCTATCTTATCATGATTATCGAGAGCTGCAAGACGTCACACATCCCTATACGTTATATTCTGTTTAAATACCAGAATGATAACCCGGTTAAACAAATGTTTTGTGAGACAGTAGAATATCAAGCGGATTGTACACAATACAGCTGTGCTGTGTGTACCAAGGATCAACTTAACCGATAAGACACAGTTTTTAAACCAACTAATCACTAAACCTGAAGTGACATGTTGATTTTATTGAAACACGGGTACTAACTCTGCTAAACTGAAAAAATTCTGAAACTTAGGTGAATAAGTGTACAACGTGCTAAACCGAAGTTCAGACTGACCAGTGAAAATGGGCGAGCGTACCAAGTGTCATTTTAATTAGATGTTTTAGTCAGTGATTTATTATTGAAGCTTGTGATTACAATAACTAATGCTCCTGTAAATACTTTAATTAATTGTTTGTTCCGTTATTCTTTTTCCTTCCTCTTTTCCTTGTCATCCCCTTTAGTTTTAAGATTCTTGCTATAAATGGCTACAGCTAACACTATTAATGCTAAGTACCAAACAACAAGTGGGAGGTGGATCGTTGGTATACCGTTAAATCGATTTAACACCGCAATTCCAGTCGCAAGCCTGGAACCACTACTAGCATTGTCACAACATCTACAAAGCTGCCATATAGCCTGACTGACAATTTTCTCGACTGACTGACAATGTTTCTTCTTTTCCCCATTTAGAATACAAAGATTAGTACATTTTAGCTTATGATTAATATTATATATTTACCTATAGTTTACCTAGATGTATCTGTTAATCTTTATATTCAACTTAGAACCTACGTAGATAACTTTAAGAGCTCCAAATAAAACATTTTAGATTCATACACAGCCTATAATCCTTATTATCCTATCATCTTGATTACCAAAAAACTGGAAAAATGCCATTATTATTGTGAATGTGGCAAACTTTGAGAAAAGCGCTTCTTTTATTCAAATTTAAATCACAAATCTCATGTTTCAAATTCATAATTCATCCTTACCATCAACTCATTTTAGTACCTTGAATTATACCTATAGTTAACTTTACAGGACACCTCAAATAGTGTTTCTTTATTCCATATCCCATCCAGCCTACTATATTGTTAACTGTAAAACTTTTATAAAACTTACTGCAACTCGTGTAGTTCAAATTTCTTTGTTCAGAGGAACGGAGTTTACTCTGGTCCTTATATTAGTGACAAAGTACTAAAATGATTGACAATTGTTTAGATGTAGGAGCTCTCATGGAATATTTGTTGTTATACATTATTTAACACCCGTGTCAAACATTGAATTTATATTGTTCATATATCATTAAGTATATATAATTCATCTGTCATCTGTGTGGTAATAATTGTTTCAATGTTTCAAAATTTGTGTTTGATTTTGAACTTTTGGGCCATACTTGTGCGTGTAATACCTTCTTTTGGATTTCACGCCAAACTTTATAGACAACAGCTCACTTCGATTTATTTTATTCCTATGCTTTACATGTCTTTAACAATCTCTTTCTAACTTTTACATAATGCTCACCACAGAAAACAAGTCAAATTTAAATTTGTTGAACAGATTAGCGACATTTGATACTTTTTCATAACATTCTCCTGCGTCAGAACTTATGTTTTTAATTGAAAATCACAAAGTTTAAAGTTATTTTTGTGCATAATCTAAACTTCTAAAATATAAAAAAATAACCGGATTAATTTTCCAGAGCTAAGCAACAGATAACACTGTTAAACATACTGATATTTGATCCATTAAATTTAGGACACCCAGGGCTAAAATTTTGGCGACTCTGTTCCATAATCTCCAGTGAGTTGGTAAGATAAAAATGCAAAAATAATTGGTTATCACGCCCCTAGGCCCGCTAGGGACAGTACTTACCCCGCTAGGGACAGTACTTACCCCGCTAGGGACAGTACTTACCCCGCTAGGGACAGTACTTACCCCGCTAGGGATAGTATAAAAATAGCTTAATGGAGTTATGCACCCAGTACACTTTCTTGCTTATGCTATGAAGGCCTGAAGGGCTGGGTAGGCCAGCTATGTAAGTGTTTTACGGTTTCAAATTGCTGCCGTTTAATAAATAGAAGACTGGCTTGTCCAATTTTTAAATGAACTTGAAAAGATTAGAGAAATTAGTCCGAAAGGTTTGCACAGTTATGAGCTGATCTAAATGGTACCAGTCAGCGGAACTTGAAGAGGTGATTATATCTGTTACCAGATTTAGCGGTGGTGTATGGTGTCGGGGCTTGATCTGTATATATTTTTGCCGCACGAAAAGTTGTGCAGAGCATGATGCGCCTCACTAAACCAGTCATCTTCAGATGTGGTCTCCTCAGAATTCAGATCTGAGTCAGCTAGTCCGACCTTGTAAACTGGACTAAGCATTTGTACCGTGACTAGTTCTGTTCTTTGTATCTATAACCTACATGTACATTACTTGTGTAGTAATTGTCATTTTATGTGCAGTGTGTGTCGGTTAATGAAGGCTAAGGGCCGATGTTTGAAGTTGGTGCTACTTCTTGTTGCTCTATCTACTTTGTACTTTTGTAAGTTATCATGAGAGTTAATCTAAAGGTTACTGATAAAATTTAATGCTTTTTGCCTGATTGCAGTTAGAGTTTCTGATCATCCAAGAGTCTCACCTGCTGACCTGCTCTTATTCTCAGTTTACATTGGGGATACAGATCAGAATAAAGCATTGGAAATATCGATTGACAGTAAGATACAAAGTGACAGTATCAAAAAATCTTCTTTCATTGTTAGTACCCAACTTGTTTTTAATTCATTCTAATCTTGAAACTGATTCTTTATGTCCCTTACAAATAGAAGAATTATACATACTTTTAAAATTATTTTCAAACACGGTAGAGTAGGTAAACGAGTGAAGGAATGCACATTCCGTACCCCAAATACCTGCCCAACAACAGGACTCCCACAGAACGGTGAGTTGAGAGCTAGATTGGTGAAGGTGAGATGTAAGGAGTTCCCTGAGTTAAAGACATGTCTCTATCCTAGTAGAGGGGTTCATAAGCGGATGCTTCCTGTTGAAGACAAGAAGTTCGCTCTCTGTGTTATGGGCAAAACAGGTGAGTTGAGGTGAATTGAGGTGATTCAATAATGTATGAATGGGAAAAGTGGGTGACCGATTTAATTTTCAGTATCATTTTGCATTTGAGAATAGTAATTCAAATTGATATCATTTACTTTTGTCTGGGAAAAGGAGAAACTGATGACGGTCCACTCTATTCAATTTAGTTGTTTAGCAAAAAAACAAACAACCCATTTAACAAAGAATTTAGAAAAAAATCCCTGTTTGGTCCCGGCCAAAAATAGGCCGATTTTGATCGGGACTGTGATTTTATTAAAGTCAAGCCTTGTTGACATATTAGGGGGCAGTGAAACTAGCTGGGTGGCATGGGACCCGTGGCAACATCAAAATATATCATAATTATATATTGAATCTGTCACATCACATCCTAAACATATGTATTTATTTGTAGTTGAGAAATTAGTTAACAACTTTCATTTATTACCATTATAGTAATGCTAATAAGTAATTACTATTAGATGCAGTGCAGATTGGAAGACTAAGACTGAATTAAAAGTGTAAAATTATCATACGATTATCAACAGATTTTAACCTTCATATCCCAACATACTACCATTATCTTGAGTAATTAATGAATAATATTACCCGCGATAAGGTTTCCGAACTTGGGGTAAATCCTCGCATAATCGTAAAATATGCAGGATATATTATCAAGTCCGAGAATGTTGGTTTTATGAGGTTTGCTGTGCCACCTTGTTGTGTTATCTAGTGTTAAAAACTTAGCGGTTCAGGTTAAATTCATGTTAAGAGCAATCAGCTCTGTTCCCGAACGTTCCAACTTTTGTATGACACCTCCGCAAACTCTGACTAGATAATAGAAGCTTTAATTCTCGCTCGCAAACCGCAGTTATGTTGTTCTTGTTGATCGTCGTCATCGTCTTGCCTGCTGATGCCTCTGATGATAGGCAGTATACTGCTCTTCACTTTGGTGCCTCCGCTAATGACTACATTGAATTTACTTTTAATATGGCCCCGTTCCAAGACTCCTTCTCCATCTGCACTTGGATAAAACGTGTAGACACCTCTGCTGCCTACCCGCTAGTTTTTGACTACGAACCGGGTAATGAGATCTTGTTAGGGTCTAACGGGGTTTACAACCAAGTAGTAGGAGATGGAGATTTGAACAGTAAGCGGAGTGTGTTCACAACACCTGTCGGGAGCTGGTTTAACTATTGTATTACTTGGTCACTCGCCTCGAGGAGCACCAAGCTGTATCTGGATGGTAACTTGATAGGCACAGGTGCGACGGACTCTGGAAGAACATTGAAAATGGGAGGAACTCTCTACTTCAATAAACTCGGTACCAGTACAAGTTCTCATTTCATATTCGGAGGCCAGTTTTATCAGTTTAATATTTTCTCTAAAGCACTCAGCTCGGCGGATGTAAAGAAAATAGCAGATGGTGGAATGTGTTTGGACCTTACAGAATTTTCTGGAACTGGTGATCTGCGATGGGAATACATACTGTCCCTGTCCAGGAGCGGTTCTGTGAGAGAGATAGAGATTGAGATTGATGGTAATGATATGGTGGAGTGTTTAAAAACCCTATTGAGGAGGTCACAAGAAGAGCTGGCCAATGTTACTGGCAGGCTGAACGAAACAGAGAGTCAACTTAGTGGGACGGAGGAAACACTTGAGATAGTAACTGAAAAACTGAATACCACCCTAAAGGAGCTAGGATCAGTAAAAAGCGAACTGAATTCCACTCAGGAAGAGCTAGGATCAGTAAAAAGCGGACTGAATTCCACTCAGGAAGAGCTAGGGACAGTAAAAGGTAAACTGAATTCCACTCAAGAGGAACTAAATTCCACCCAGGAAGAGCTAGGATCAGTAAAAAGGGAACTGAACTCTACCCAAGGAGAACTGAATACCACTCAGGAAGAACTGAATTCCACTCAGGAAGAACTAGAGACAGTTATAGGTAAACTGAATGGCACTCAAGAAGAACTGAATTCCACGCAGGAAGAACTAGGTACAGTAAAAGGTAAACTCGAAAGAACGGAGAGCGAGCTACAGACAGAGTCAGCGCAGCACAACAGGACAGGGGAGCAGTTGGATACCTGCTCAACTTCCCTAACAAGCACACTGACCCAGCTGGAGGGCGCCAGAGCATTCCACAACATCACCAGGTGGGATGTCCTATACACCACCCCTTACTTTAACAAGGTGCTCACAGAGGAACTGTTCCAGCAACTGTCTTCTAGTTGGGGAATGTTGGGTAAGTGTGAACTTATTTTATTATTGACTCTTCTTATCAGGATTCACGCCAACCTCTGAACATGTGTAATGTGCATTAACTTTTGATATCGGTGTAAACTGTATAACTTACCTTATCGGACGTAATTTGACCGGACATTGCCTGAACGGACATAATTCTGAACAGACATTAACACAAAAGCTCAAAGCTGCATTTTAAACCTGTACAAATTCAAAATTTTTTCATTTTCTGATCTAATGATATTAGTAGGATAGAAATTGTATTTGACAGAAATTAAAAAGAATTCATATCCTGGATAATAAGTTTGTAGTAGAATAATTGTGGGGAAAAATTTGGACGGACTTTGACATGGAGTTGGATGGAACCAAATTTATTTTGTGCCGCCATAGTGCCGCCATAGTGCCTCGACAGTGCCTCGACAGTGCCATCGGGATACGGATGTATGACCGTTCCGGTTCAGATAAAGTTCGATAAGGTAACGCACACTTATGTCTAAGGGCATGGTGATTTCATAAACAGACTTCAAATTTTCAGGGAAGTTCGTCGGTGTGAATATAACTGAAGGTGTTGTCAACCACTTTCGCAAGTACCACAAAGAACCTGTCTGCGACGTCTTCGAACAAATGTCAATTCCAATGCTCAGTAAGTTATACTAATCCAAAACTGGGAAATGGCCATTGGGGCCGAGGGGCATTGGTTTATGGACGTATTCTTTATTACTAAGTTAACGATGCTAATCATAACAGTTTCCTTTTATCCTCACTTGGTTAAAGTAATACCATGTATGACGTATTAGACCATACTGAAAGTTAATTCTCAAGAATTCCTTAATTTCCTCCAGAGAGACCATCTCATTCTCAACATGTCAATCTAAGTTTATATCATTGTACGTGCCAGGTTAAGTTTTAAGTGACTTAAAACTTTTAACGGCCCATAAATAATGACAATAAATTTGTTCAGGACAGTTTATAGGAGTTGAATTGACTACGGGGATAGCGGATCACCTCAGAGACAGTCACGTTGTGAGTCGTGAAGACTCACCATGTGACAGCGATACGAAGAGCTAACTGATCTGTAACCGTAATACAGACATAGCAACAGTAGTTCTCGTCAAGGAGAAATGAACATTTTGTTTTTATGAACGTTTTTAAAGGCGTGATTCATATCTTTGAAAAAAGCACACTCCCCTGAATTGTGCGCATTGCAATATCTTATTTTAAAATTCGTGAATCAACCATTTTCATGAATTTATTCTGAATCATAATATACAATTATGCAAACCAATTCATGAAGGACCTTTCGAGGAAAATAACAAACTCAAAAACTAGTATTTGTTTCAAAAATTAATAAGACTTTTTTACTAGGTGCCTTAAAAGTGATCTTAAACGATTCGACGTTCAATTTTGGTCTGTACACGAATCTAAAAGAGAATCTCAAAGCAAGTAAAAAAGTATTTCATACGTATTAAATTGGATGTGCTTTTTTTTTTTTTTTTTTTTAAAATAAATATGCAACCTACTAAAACCAATGGGGCCCTCCCTGGGGTCATTACTCTCGCATTTGCGAGAGTCGTCCCAAAGGTGTGAAAGTAGGTCAAGATTTGTTCACACCAAGCTCTAGCATCGCTATTTGTTGACCATCTGCCTTCTCTGAAGGTATGTTTTTAGAGAGTGGAGGCCGACCGTCAGCTTGGGATGCAGGGCCAAGTGGTAAACAACGTCAAGGCCCCTTCCACATGGGCCATGTTGGTTTTGGCAGATACTTTGATAATAAGATATGAAGTGAATGAGTGAAATGAAGTGAGTGAAAAGGGTGTAAAAGAGGAAGAGCTTGTAAGGTAGTTTAGGAATGGAAGGAAGCAGGGCATGTACTACAAAAACAGCTAGTAGTACTCTAAGATAGTAACAATAACCATTGAAAATTAAATAACAAAGACAGCAATATAAATGGGATGGACAATTTGCCCTAATCGGCCAAGATCGACACAATAGAACTTTTGTGACCTATTTTGTCTCCTGTAAGTGAAAGTTTAAGAAGTTTGATATACCCCTGCCAGATCGGCATGTCCCCTGCCTGAAATCTTTTGCTAATGTACCATTTGGGAACAATATTAAAATAATTTATAATTTGTGAAGTGTGATTACAAACTATAAAATTAATTTTATTGGGGTCTTTGTAATTTCTATCGATTTTCCTTTTGATAAAATCTTCAAGTATTGTGATGAAGCTATTTGTGTGGATACAGTGGAGATAGATATGAGGAATTGTTTCTAAGTATGTGTTACACAGGCTACACATGGGAGTATCTGTAACAATTTTCATTTTGTGTCTCATGTATCTACACGTCGTGATCCTCATTAAAAGTTTGTACTGAAATTGAATCAACTTAAAATTTTTAGATACTAAGAAAAAAAGGTTGCTTAGAACGACCACCCATTCTATTGGTTGATTTTTTAGGTCAATAACCCATTGACGTAATGGGGACAGCTCGTTTGGGCAGATAGAGTCGTACATTTTATCCCGAATTTTACTTCCCTTCACCTGTCCAGTTACAGAATGTAAAAATTTAAGCTTTATATTTGAGTCAACAAACTCAATATTCCTTGAGTTAATAGTGGGGCAGTTATATCTCCGTATCCCCATGATAATGTTACAGTACTCAGTTTTGGAAATAGTATTTGGAGACAACTCCCACTTGTTAATGAACATATCGTAGTTAAGGATTGTACTTTGGTCTATAGAAAGGAAATCTGAGATGTAAAATATTCCCTTATCAATCAGATGATTGTTCCAAAGTTTGGCCCCGATGTCGGTTATTGCTGGGTTGTACCACACGCAGTGATCAATAGAACCCAAGGCTGCATTTACCGAACTTATCTTCCACTCAGTGTAACAATTAAGGACGTCTTGAGTAAAATGGCAGTTGGTTTTAGCGAGACCGTTTTCTACGGAGATGGTGATATGGTCAGGAAATTTCAGTTGCATAATCATAATATCTTTCCAAGTGTGGTGAAAGGAATTATTTAGTAGCTTGGATATGAGGCTGGTTTTAAGACCTGTAATAAAATCAGATAAATAAAAAAGTCCCAGGCCTCCGTGTTCCTTATTTCGGGTAATAATCTCACGTTTTACTTTATCGCGTTTGCAACCCCAAAGAAAATGGAAAATAGTCGTGTCAAAGATTCTGATAAAGGAAGCATCCGGTCGAGGGAGAGGAGAAACAAGATATGTTAATTGGGAAAAGAGAAGGGTTTTAATGACTGTGCATTTACCCATAAGCGTCAAATCCCTCTTGCTCCATCGGCTTATCCAAGACTGAACCTTAATCAATTTATCATTATAATTACTGTTGACAATATCCATCAGTGAGCCATCGTTCATATAAATTATACCCAAAGCGGTGAAGTTATTTGTTATAAAATCATAGCCGTATAAACTTTGAAGGGATTCTAGTAGAGTTGTATTGAGACGAGCTCGACCCAAAGGAATACATCTAGTTATTGGAGGTGCTTTTTGCAGAGATATGGTGCAAACTGCACGCCTTAGTAGATTACCACATTTTATGGTAGAATAGCATCTTCTTTCAGTTGCTTTTAGCAGCTTAGTGTTTTGAAGAAATCATTTGTATATTAAATTTAAAAATGTAATGTTAATATTTAAATTCAACAAGAGTTATTTATAACTCTTACCTGCGCCAAAACACACACACGGGAGCCAAACATGCACGTGGGAGCTATTAGTATTATGAATTTTAGAGATGATAGAGACATAATTATAATTGACGAATCAAATTATTTTGAAGCTGATATAAAGTGATATATATTACGTATTAGCGGCACGTATTTTGCTGGCACAAATTGTGTGCAAATTTTGTAAAAATCTCAACGGGCTGGCATGAATTGGGACCCGTGGCAACATTAAAATATATCATAATATATTGAATCCGTTACATCACATCCTAAACATATGTATTTGTTTTCAGTCGAGAAATTCAAATTAGTTAACAACTTTCATTTATTACCATTAGTAATGCTAATAAGTAATTATTATTAGATGCGTACTTGCAGATTGGAAGAATAAGAGTGAATTAAAAGTGTAAAATTATCCGATTATCAACAGATTTTAACCTTCATATCCCAACATACTACCATTATCTTGAGTAATTAATGAATAATATTACCCACGATAAGGTTTCCGAACTTGGGGTAAACCCTCGCATAATCGTAAAATATGCAAGATATATTATCAAGTCCGAGAATGTTGGCATTATGAGGTTTGCTGTGCCACCTTGTTGTGTTATCTAGTGTTAAAAACTTAGCGGTTCAGGTTAAATTCATGTTAAGAGCAATCAGCTCTGTTCCCGAACGTTCCAACTGTTGTATGAGTATTGCTGAAAGCACAGTGTAAGGCCTACACGGACCGCCTCTAACTAGCCAATCCCTGTTTACATGCCGTGTAGCAGGGGACTAGATAGAGCTAAACTAGTAAGCGGGGCATAGCCAATACACTGTACTTCCATCATTAAGTATATTACCAACCAAGAGGAAAATGACACCTCCGCATACTCTGACTAGATAATAGAAGCTTCAATTCTCGCTCGCAAACCGCAGTTATGTTTCTCTTGTTGATCGTCGTCATCGTCTTGCCTGCTGATGCCTCTGATGATAGGCAGTATACTGCTCTTCACTTTGGTGCCTCCATTAATGACTACATTGCATTTAAGTATAATATGGCTCCGTTCCAAGACTCTTTCTCCATCTGTACGTGGATAAAACGTGTAGACACCTCTGCCAGCTCCCCGCTAGTGTTTGACTACGAACCGAGTCATGAGATCTTGTTAAGTTCTAACGGGCGCTACAACCACTTTTTAGCAGATGGAGATTTGAACAGAAAGGAGAGTGTGTTCACAACACCTGTCGGGAGCTGGTTTAACTACTGTATTACTTGGTCACTTGCCTCGAGGAGCATCAACCTGTATCTGGATGGTAATCTGGTAGGCACAGGTACAACCGACTCTGGAAGAGCACTGAAAATGGGAGGAACTCTGTACTTCAATATACTCTATACCACTTCAAGTTCTAGTTTCATATTCGGAGGCCAGCTCTATCAGTTTAACATTTTCTCTAAAGCACTCAGCTCGGCGGATGTAAAGAAAATAGCAGATGGTGGAATGTGTTTGGACCTTACAGAATTCTCTGGAACTGGTGATCTGCGATGGGAATACATACTGTCCCAGTCCAGGAGCGGTTCTGTGAGAGAGGTAGAGATTGATATTGATGATAATGATACGGTGGAGTGTTTAAAAACCCTATTGAGGAGGTCACAAGAAAGGCTGACAAATGTTACTGGCCGGCTGAACGAAACAGAGAGTCAACTTAGTGGGACGGAGGTGAAACTGAATACCACTCTAAAAGAGCTAGGATATGTGAGAGGTGAACTGAATTCCACCCAAGAACAACTGAATTCCACGCAGGAAGAGCTAGGTACATTAAAAGGTGAACTCGAAAGAACGGAGAGCGAGCTGCAGACAGAGTCAGCTCAGCACAACAAGACAGGGGAGCAGCTGGGTACCTGCTCAACTTCCCTAACAAGCACACTGACCCATCTGGATACCTGCTCAACTTCCCTAACAAGTACACTGACCCAGCTGGAGGGCGCCAGAACATTCCACAACATCACCAGGTGGGATGTCCTATACACCACCCCCTACTTTAACAAGGTGCTCACAGAGGAACTGTTCCAGCAACTGTCTTCCAGTTGGGGAATGTTGGGTAAGTGTAAAATTCTTTTATTATTGACTCTTCTTATCACGATTTTACGCCAACCTCTGAACATGTGTAATGTACATTAACGTTTGTTATCGGTGTAAACTGTATAACTTACCTTATCGGACGTAATTTGACCGGAAATTGCCTGAACGGACATTAACACAAAAGCTCGAAGCTGCATTTCAAACCTATACAAATTCGAAATTTTCTCATTTTCTGATCCAATGATATTAGTACGATAGAAATTGTAATTGACCGAAATTCAATAGAATTCATATCCTGGGTAATAAGTTTGTAGCAGAATAATATTAATTGTGGGGAACAATTTTGACGGACTTTGACTTGGAGTTGGATGGAACAAAATTTATTTTGTGCCGCGACAGTGTCGCCATAGTGCCAAGAGAGTGCCTTGACAGTACCATCAAGATCCGGATGTATGACCGTTCAGGTTCAGATAAAGTTCGATAAGGTAACGCACATTTATGTCTAAGGGCATGGTGATTTCATAAACAGACTTCAAATTTTCAGGGAAGTTCGTCGGTGTGAATATAACTGAAGGTGTTGTCAACCACTTCAGCCAGTTCCACAAAGAACCTGTGTGCAACGTCTTCAAACAAATGTCCATTCCAATGCTCAGTAAGTTATACTAATCCGAAACTGGGAAATGGCCGAGGGGCATTTGTTTAATGACGAATTCTTTATTACTAAGTTAACGATGCTCAACATAACAGTTTCCTTTTATCCTCGCTCGGTTATAGTAATTCCATGTATGATGTCTTAGACCATATTGAAAGGTAAATCTCAAGAATTCCTTAATTGCCTCCAGAGACAAACTCAACATGTCAATCTAAGTTTATATCATTGTTCGTGCGAGGTTGAGTTTCAAGTGACTTAAAACTTTTAACGGCCCATAAATAATGACAATAAATTTGTTCAGGACAGTTTATAGGAGTTGAATTGACTACGGGGATAGCGGATCACCTCAGAGACAGCCACGTTGTGAGTCGTGAAGACTCACCATGTGACAGCGATACAGAGAGCTAACTGATCTGTAACCGTAATACGGACATAGCAACAGTAGTCCTCGTCAAGGAGAAATAAACATTTTGTTTTTATGAACGTTTTTAAAGGCGTGATTCATATCTTTGAAAAAAGCACACTCCCCAAATTGCACGCATTGCAATTTGCGATAAATTATTTTAAAATTCGTAACCAAACCATTTTCATGAATATATTTTGAATCATAATATGCAATTGTGCAAACCAATTCATGGAGGACCTTTCGAGGAAAGATTGTTTTACAAGGTGCTCATTTATAAGTGATCTTAAACGATTCGCCGTTCAATTTTGGTCTTTACACGTCAGAATCTATAAGCAAGTAAAAAATTATTTTATAAGTAATAAATTAGAGGTGCTTTTTGAAGAGATATGGTGCACACTGCACGCCTTAGTAGATTACCACATTTTATGGTAGAATAGCACCTTCTTTCAGTTGCTTTTAGCAGCTTAGTGTTTGAAGAAATCATTTTTATATTACATTTAAAAATGTAATGTTTATATTTAAATTCAACAAGAGTTATTTATAACTCTAGAGTTGAAAAAGATTTAGTGCTATAAAGGGGGCCACTCATTCATTATTTTTAGTTTTATAATAAGTTCTGACCTGCGCCAAACACTTAACACACACACGGGAGCCAAACATGCACGTGGGAGCTATTAGTATTGTGAATTTTAGAGATGATAGAGACATGATTATTATTGACAAATCAAATTATTTTGAAGCTGATATATATTACGTATTAGTGGCACGTATTTTGCTGGCACAAATTGTGTGCAACTTTTGTAAAAATCTCAACGGGCTGGCATGAATTGGTACCCGTGGCAACATCAAAATATATCATAATATATTGAATCTGTCACACCACATCCTAAACATATGTATTTATTTGTAGTCGAGAAATTAGTTAACAACTTTCATTTATTACCATTAGTAATGCTAATAAGTAATTATTATTAGATGCGTTGCAGATTGGAAGACTAAGAGTGAATTAAAAGTGTTAATTATCCTTATACCTACGATTATCAACAGATTTCAACTTTCTAATTCATATCCCAACATACTACCATTATCTTGAGTAATTAATGAATAATATTACCCACGATAAGGTTTCCGAACTTGGGGTAAACCCTCGCATAATCGTAAAATATGCAGGATATATTATCAAGTTCGAGAATGTTGGTTTTATGAGGTTTGCTGTGCCACCTTGTTGTGTTATCTAGTGTTAAAAATTAGCGGTTCAGGTTAAATTCATGTTAAGAGCAATCAGCTCTGTTCCCGAACGTTCCAACTTTTGTATGACACCTCCGCATACTCTGACTAGATAATAGAAGCTTCAATTCTCGCTCGCAAACCGCAGTTATGTTCCTCTTGTTGATCGTCGTCATCGTCTTGTCTGCTGTTGCCTCTGATGATAGGCAGTATACTGCTCTTCACTTTGGTGCCTCCACTAATGACTACATTGCATTTAAGTATAATATGGCCCCGTTCCAAGACTCCTTCTCCATCTGCACTTGGATAAAACGTGTAGACACATCTGCCGACTACCCGTTCGTGTTTGACTACGAACCGGGTAATGAGATCCATATAAGTTCTAACGGGGTTTACAACCACTTTTTAGGAGATGGAGATTTGAACGGTAAGCAGAGTGTGTTCACAACACCTGTCGGGAGCTGGTTTAACTACTGTATTACTTGGTCACTCGCCTCGAGGAGCACCAACCTGTATCTGGATGGTAACTTGATAGGCACAGGTACGACCGACTCTGGAAGAACATTGAAAATGGGAGGAACTCTGTACTTCAATCAACTCCATACCAGTTCACTTTCTGGGTTTATATTCGGAGGCCAGTTCTATCAGTTCAACATTTTCTCTAAAGCACTCAGCTCGGCGGATGTAAAGAAAATAGCAGATGGTGGAATGTGTTTGGACCTTACAGAATTCTCTGGAACTGGTGATCTGCGATGGGAATACATACTGTCCCAGTCCAGGAGCGGTTCTGTGAGAGAGGTAGAGATAGATATTTATAATGATATGGAGTGTTTAAAAACTCTATTGAGGAGGTCACAAGAGAGGCTGACGAATGTTACCGGACGGCTGAACGAAACAGAGAGTCAACTTAGTTGGACGGTGGTGAAACTGAATACCACCCTAAAAGAGCTAGGAGATGTGAGAGGTGAACTGAATTCCACCCAAGAAGAACTGAATTCCACCCAAGAAGAACTGAATTCTACCCATGAAGAGCTAGGGACAGTAAAAGGTAAACTCGAAAGAACGGAGAGCGAGCTGCAGATAGAGTCAGCTCAGCACAACAAGACAGGGGAGCAGCTGGATACCTGCTCAACTTCCCTAACAAACACACTGACCCAGCTGGAGACCGCCAGAACATTCCACAACATCACCAGGTGGGATGTCCTATACACCACCCCCTACTTTAACAAGGTGCTCACGGAGGAACTGTTCCAGCAACTGTCTTCCAGTTGGGGAATGTTGGGTAAGTGTAAACTTCTTTTATTATTGACTCTTCTTATCAGGATTCACGCCAATCTCTGAACATGTGTAATGTGCATTAACACGACTAGACAGTGCCACGAGAGTGCCCCGGATGTATGACCGTTCCGGTTCAGATAAAGTTCGCTAAGGTAACGCACACTTATGTCTAAGGGCATGATGATTTCATAAACAGACTTCAAATTTTCAGGGAAGTTCGTCGGTGTGAATATAACTGAAGGTGTTGTCAACCACTTCAGCCAGTACCACAGAGAACCTGTGTGCGACGTCTTCGAACAAATGTCAATTCCGATGCTTAGTAAGTTATACTAATCCGAAACTGGGAAATGGCCATTGGGGCCGAGGGGCATTTGTTTATTGACGAATTCTGTTTTACTAAGTTAACGATGCTAATCAAACATAACAGTTTCCTTTTATCCTCACCATACTGAAAGTGAATTGTCAAGAATTCCATAATTGCCTCCAGAGACAAACTCAACATGTTAATCTAAGTTTATATCATTGTTCGTGCGAGGTTGAGACTTAAAACTCATAAATAATGACAATAAGTTTTTTCAGGACAGTTTGTAGGAGTTGAATGGACTACGGGGATAGCGGATCACCTCAGAGACACTCACGTTGTGAGTCGTGAAGACTCACCATGTGACAGCGATACGGAGAGCTAATTGATCTGTAAGCGTAATACGGACACAGCAACAGTAGTTCTCGTCAAGGAGAAATGAACATTTTGTTTTTATGAACGTTTTTAAAACGTGATTCATATCTTTGAAAAAAGCACACTCCCCTGAATTGCGCGCATTGCAATAACTTATTTTAAAATTCGTGAATCAAACATTTTCATGAATTTATTCTGAATCATAATATACAATTATGCAAACCAATTCATGTAGGACCTTTCGAGGAAAATAACAAACTCAAAAACTTGTCTTTTTTTCAAAAATTAATAAGGCTTTTTTTTACTAAGTGCCTTAAAAGTGATCTTAAACGATTCGCCGTTCAATGTTGGTCTGTACACGTCAGAATTTATAAGCAAGTAAAAAAAAAGTACTTTATACGTATTAAATTAGAGCTGCTTTTTGAAGAGATATGGTGCACACTGCACGCCTTAGTAGATTATCACATTTTATGGTAGAATAGCACCTTCTTTCAGTTGCTTTTAGCAGCTTAGTGCCTTGAAGAAATCATTTTTTGAGTACATTTAAAAGTTGAATGTTAATATTTAAATTCAACTAGAGTTATTTATAACTCTAGAGTTGAAAAAGTTTTAGCGCTATAAAGGGGGTCACTTATTCATTATTTTTAGTTTTACAATAAGTTCTGACCCGCGCCAAACATGCACACGGGAGCGTAACATGCACGTGGGAGCTATTAGTATTATGAATTTTAGAGATGATAGAGACATGATTATAATTGAAAGTAAAGTAAGTAAGTAAGTAAGTAAAGATTATGACATTACATCATCACAAGTGTCTAAAAAAATATCATTGCACTAAATAGAAAAATAATTCAAATAGATATATTCTTCCATCAACATTAATAATTTATTAAATTCAATTTTATTAATTAATAAAATCTACTGCATTATATATAAATAATTAATTAAAACTTCCCAGTGGAATAAAGATTTATAAAACGTTTCTTTGCCACAAAAGGATGAAACCAAAGATATTCATTATGTGTCTCCTTATTGCTTAAATAACTGGGTCCTTCAATTTTCCCTAAAACTTCGTTCGAAACATTCCAAAAATAAAAATCATTTACACTGTTTTTAGAAATCATTTCTTTCTTAAATCTTTCCAACCTAACTTTAAAGCTTAAAACTGTCGAGCAGTTCTTGACATCTGAAGGGAGTTTGTTCCAGTAAGGAATGACTCGCTCCAGAAGAAAAGACGACTGGAGATTCTTAACTTTAGTTACACTCTTACTACACCTATTGGTTGAAACTAGATTAAGACCAGATCTGCTCATTCTGAACAAACCCGATCCATATTCAGTCAAACCACTAGTTACTTTAAAAGCTTCAATAAGGTCCCCGCGTATTCGCCGCTCTGCCAGCGTTGTCAAATTGAGGATATCCAGAGTACCCACCTCATCAATAAGACGGGTAAACCGCCTCTGGACGCTCTCCAGCTCCAAAACAGTCCCCCAACTTCCATGAGCCGCAACTGGATTCCACAATTGGACACAATACTCAAGATGAGGTCTTATCAAAGCTTTATAAATAGCTATCATTACAACCTTTTCTCTAATAACTAAGTTCCTTACAATCCAGCAGATCATACGATTTGCTTTAGAAATACATGCTTTTATCTGTTCATTCCAAAGCAAGGAGCTATGGGTAATAACCCCCAAATCTTTTTCCTGTGCAGATACTTCTAGTTCTACTCCATTTACAATATAATTCGAGTTAGGATTATTATTCAGATTAATATGGACTACTTTACACTTGGCAGGATTGAAGTTTAAGTGCCAAATACTCTCCCAAATTTCGAGTTCTAAAATATCATCTGATACACTTTTATGGTTAGCTGCATTACAAACTAACTTGAGATCATCTGCAAATAATTTAATCTTATTTTTAACATTGTCAGGTAAATCGTTTATATAAAGAATAAATAACAAAGGACCTAATACTGACCCCTGGGGAACACCAGATAATACGTGTTTCACCTCAGACCATTGTCCTTCTACACAAACCCTCATGGTTCTGTCTGTCAGAAAGTCTTTTATAACATCTAAAACTTTTCCCTTGACCCCAAACCCCTCCAATTTAGATAGAAGTCTAAAGTGGGGGACTGTATCGAAAGCTTTACTAAAATCAAAATACAAAAGATCAACAGGAGCACCTTCGTCTAAAATATCAAGAATATTATCAAATGTCTCTAAGAGATTAGATAGACAAGATTTACCCTTCACAAATCCATGCTGATGCTTTGAAATTCGTTCTTCTATCTAAAAATGTTAATAAATGTGCCCTCACCAACTTTTCATAAACTTTGCACAAAATACAAGTTAATGAGACAGGTCTATAATTTAAGGGATCAGATTTAACACCCTTTTTGAACAATGCTACAACAGATGCTGTCTTCCAAATGTCAGGCAGGACTCCTGTTTCTGAACATTTAACAAATAATTTAGTAACAGCTTCAACAAACATTTCATCGTATGCTAAAGATTTCAACAACTTTGGATGAACGCCATCCGGACCAGAACTCTTAAAAACATTAAGCTTTAAAAGCTGCTTCTTGATATCAGAACTGCTAATTTCCATATCATCAATCACCTCTTTGTTATAACTCTCATTTTGGGGAAGAGGGCCAGGTGGTTCACGCACAAACACAGAACTAAAGGCACTAGCAAGTACCTCAGCTGACTCAGATGAACTATTTGTGCGTGTACCATCTCCTCTATCCAAAGAAACAACACTTGATTTCACTTGACGTTTATTACGCAAATACGAGTAAAAAGATTTACAATTCTGTTTTAAATTAGATGTAATCTTCTTTTCATAATTTACTTTAGCTTTAATCTCTGCCACCTCAAAATTATGCTGCTTGCTATTTGCACAGCTCAAGTTAATATAAGAAGGATTAATATCAAATTCAGCCCATGCTCTGTCCTTGTTCTTCCTCATTCTTTTAAGTGCAGTTGTACTCCATGGCAACTTGACAGGTCTGTTGTCGAGATAAACCGAAGCAGCTGGGACAGCTGCAGCAACAGACTCCAATTTACTATGTAGTTCAACCCACATATCTTGAACATTATTTTTACAACTATAATCCCAGTCAATATTATTCATACTAAAGTTAAATAACTCTTCTGAGGAAATCTTACCCCAAATAGGCTTTAAAATCTTTTGTTTGGGACTTTTGTTAGTATTGGGCGAAACAACCAGTTCGACAAGTATCCCAACATGATCACTTTTGCCAAGCGGAGAAACGATCTTACAACCGTTGACAAGAGCATCATTTGTATACAAAACCTGATCAAGAAGACTCTCCTGGAGAGTATCTTTCACAAGCCGTCTTCTGGTTGTTTCGTTAGTAAAGTACCACGTCAAACCACTGTCATTAAATAAATCAATATACTTTTGTTGAATCATTAAAACCTGATTCTTACTAGAAATACCACTATTTACACTACCAGTTTCCCATGATACATTAGGTAGGTTAAAATCTCCTATGATAATGGTTTCAAAAACATTCTTTTCACTAGATATGTTCTTGATGCAAGATAATAACATATTGTTCTGTTCTAAATTCAAAGAAGTAGACCTATAAATACAGCAAATACTAATCAATCCACCAGAGGTATTGACATTAATAGCTAAAGAGTCTGGTGCTTTTAAAAATGAGCTCACTAATGACGCATTACAACTGTTTTTAATATAAATAATAGAACCTCCACCTCCACTTATGTTGCTAGTGGAGTTATCGATTTTAAAATCTCTGTCTTTTCTAAACATACTAAAACCTTCAATAAAAATTTCAGCATCTAAAATATCACTATTAAAATGAGTTTCTGTAATGCAGATTACATGAATAGATTTATAAACTGATAGAATACATTTTAGTTCATCAATTTTATTAAATAGTCCATTAGCATTAGTATAAAAAATATTCATGGGCTGACTACATTCTTTGTTACTGCTATTTACTTCTTCTCCGCCTTCTTCTCTGTCTTTTTCTTCTCTGCTTCTTCCCGCCTCTTCTTCCTCTCTTCTCTGGCTAAAAAACGGATCTCTCGGTCTGCTCTGCAGAGATCCAGATTTATCCAGTATGATGACTCTTTCCAGCCCTTGCCATGGTTGGAATAATAGTTAACTGACTCCTGGTCAGCTGTCTGGATGATCAATGGCCGACAGGAGTCTGGCTTGTCTGAATCCACTTTACCTGCACGATGGCAACTGATAAAGTCACTTTTTTCAATCTTTAATGTCTCCTTGCAGAAATTCGAGTCCTCTTCCTGACGTAGCTTGGAGTTAGCTTTCTTGCTCTCTGGTACATTCAAAACACACAGATTGAGCTTCCTTAAATTCCGCTCATATGCATCAGTGTGCATCTTTGTCTGAACTTTACTGACAACACTTTGTGAAGCTTGCTGTATGCTCATTTCTTCAATAACTTTCTTTTGACTATTTGCAGTCACATCTGCCCAGGATTTGAAAGCCTGGTTCACTATTTTTGTGATTTCTTTTGGTTTTTCAGATGAATCATTAGAAGAACTGGTATGACTCACAGAATCTTCAACAATTCCTCTGATACACGGAGTTAGGGCCTCAAGTTCTTCTCTAATAACATTTCTCAGGGTCTTGGTTTCTTCACTGTCTGGATTTGTGGACTGGCTCCTCGTGCCCTTGATGTGGGGGGAGATAAAGCAATTTTGGCAGCGCCAGTTAGTCAAGCGGTCACCTTCTTCCTGCGTTAATCCTGTAAGCCCAACACAGCAGTAGTGCCAGTACATTTCGCAAGTTGCACATGCCAAAGAAAACTCCTCCTCAATATATTTTCTACATTCACAGCTGCGATCTTCTTCGTCGTCAATTTCACCATTATCTGTTGTCCCACCGATCTTTTCTGGACTTCTCTTGACATTTCTGGATCGTGTACTCTTTCCGCGTGTCATACCTCAAATTATTTGTTATATAGTAGTGTTGAAAGTATTAAAACGAATCAATTTATTTTAAAGCTGATATATATGTGCAAATTTTGTAAAAATCCCAACATGACTATTTTTTGTTCCTGTCATCTAATTGAATTAGAATAATTTGAACTGAAAATAAACATGCTGAACGACTTCTGATGAGTCTTAATAGAAATAAAAATGTGTAAAGGGAGTAGAAGGGGCAGCAGTTGTACTTTCCAGCACTTTGACCCGAATGTAAGCCATCGTAATGATAATTTTATTTAAATACTCATATCCAGACAGGTGCCAACCTTAAAACTAACGGCTGTTCAAACTTATATAAGTACCAACAAGAATTTTGCCGCACTTACGAACGAATCATAAAAAAGGAGGTTTTATTTCCATGAACTGTCTGTTGATCAAGTGGCTTATCTTTTTAAAAGCCCCATATTATGCGAACCCAATATTTCCTTGAGTGATGTTCTTCTTTCGGGAAAATCATAGGGATAATAATTCTCTGAAATTTCAATAGTTAATAAAAATCATAGAAATAGATTCCTGTTTTCAGAAAACAGTGTTTTCTATTCTTATTTCCCATAAGGTTCATCCAACTGGAAGACTCTTATCTTACAAATGAGAGGACTAATCACAGAGGAGGAAGCAAAGAACATGACATACCCTCACAGCAAGGAGTACTGGGACGATGGAGGCACAGTTTATTACTACAGAAAACCAGAGGTGGGTAAAAGTTTACCGAGAGTGTAAAATGGAGAGTTCAGAAGTTGAAAGTTGTTACAAGCCGCTGTTTATTTTGTGTATCATGAAGTGATTTGAATGATCCAGGATTTTAGATGTCTGGAGACTTGACATTTTCATATTTATCAGAGGAATCGTAAAAGAATGGTCAGGACGATAAACGATGAATATTACAAGATAACGTTTGTAAGGGATCCTTTATCACGACTACTCTCAGGATATAGAGACAAATTCACAGGTTCTGGAAAAGTTTATGTTTGAGGATTTGGAATAATTAGTTAAACAAACTGAATTAAATTACTTAAACTAATCCATCAAATTATTTACCAACGATACATTGCATTAGTTGTGGTCCACTAAACTTTACATTATATGGATTATATTGTAGGAACCTCGGAAGATCACTCGTTTAAAGTGTACAGAACTAAAAGAGCAATAGAGATGTGCTCGTGTGTTGAGGAATTAATGGCGATACGACCTGACGGTGACATTGTGCCAAAAGAAGTATGTTTTATTTTTTCCTTTTCACCCTTTTGAAAAAAGGCAATAGTGAAAGGTTACGAATGGACGTTTTTGCAGAAAAACGTGGATTTTGGAGATTGCAGTAGGTGGGTCTGAATATGTCGTCGCGTCAGTCCTTCCTTACTTCCGTTAGTAACCATGCAACGAAAAAGTTGCGCGCGCGAGGATTGCTTGCGGAGATGTGATGTATAGATAGCCTGTGATCCATGAATGCGCGGCGCAACTGTGTTTTAATGTATACGATGTAATGTATAATATTAGGTTATAAGCCCAATTTGTACGTGGCACGCGTAGTGTATTGATGTGTACACGAGTATTCAGTATAGTTACCTTTGCTTACAATTTAAGTACTTTGCTTTACAAGTTAAGTTCTTTGGCAATTGAACTGAATTTCAAGTGTTTCCTGTACTTAATGCATAATTTATCAATATTATTATCATGAAGCACTGAAGTGAGCTGATTGGAGCTTATACTTAAATTTATAGTAAATGTGAAATGGAAATCTAGCGTCCGCCAAAACGAAACAACGGGCGCAATTCTTGTTCTTAAAGCAGTTCTTAAATAATATCTATAGTGCTGAAGATTTTATACGAGTAAAAGTAAATTTGTAAAGTAAGTTGACCAGTAACAGATGTTCATTGCAGATATACTCCTTTATGGAGCAGGAAGTGGAGCACCATTGTAAAAAAGGTGAAGAATTCGTCACCCTCGGTATATTTTTCTTGATCGCCATATTCATGCCTCAAGATTTCAAGGGTGATGTGCTGGTAAGTAATGAATAATGTAGCTCAATTAACATACTATCCATAGACAATAGATATTGTTGGGGATTGTACATTTTTGGAATCGAAGCAGCAGTTTCTATATCACTTATCAGTATTGAATTTTAAACGAGTTTGGCGGGTATTTGCACCAATTTTCCACGGGAAATTAAAATTGTTGCTTTTTTTCAGAAAGATCTGATAGTCAATACTCATTTCAATGACATGCTTAGTATGTGTGACCATTGCAGGATAAAGTATGTATCAAAGCTGTAACTGAAAGTAATTTGCTCATTTTATTTAAACACAGAGAGCAGCCTTAAATAATCTACCGATTTTCTAGTGAAATAATTAGTGCTGTATTTAGCTTACTGCCTTACCTGGCAGAGGCTGTAGAATTGGGACTGAATATGAAATATGTCAGCTTGTTAGAATATTAAAAAAACACTATACAATTTCAGTTACGACTTTATAGGTACTGTTGAAACAATGGACAGCGACTTTGAATTTCTGAAGAATAAACTAGGGATAGAGTACGATTTACTGCAAATAGCGAGTACACAGACAGGTAATTCACGTCCTTTGTTATTCCTGGCAAGCCTCAATATGTAAAGAGGGACAATTTGGCATCTAGGCACCAGACATGCTAAAAGCTGGTCAATAGCAATTAGCAAGCTAATAACCATTAACCATCTGTAATGAAAGCTGATGAATATGAACAAGCTTTGACTGGCTGGTGGTACTTTTAAAAGTTTCTACTCGGGCGAAAAACTGAAAAAGTGAATCAAAAAGTTAACAAACAGCTATTATTCCTCATTTGACTATTTTCATTGTAAGAGGTAATTATCAAGTTGAAGTTCAAAATAACACACTCAGGGGTAATGAGTAAAGGAGAAGTTCAAACCATGTGGCAAAACCTCCCGTATATCCTCAAACAGTATGTTTACATGTGGTTGGGTAATGATGCAACAGCATTTGGATACATTGGTTATGATGTTGATATAGATAAGAAGCTACTTCCCAGGCATTATGAAAGGCGTACTAATTGCAACAACTTTTTTAATGAATAGCATTTTCATTATTATTATGATTATACTAGTCTTTTTAAGTTTTTGGGCTTAGTTTTGATTTGCTTTTCAAAACCAGTTTTATATCTACAGGAAACGGGGTTTTTATCTATTCATTTCGTACAGTGTTTTGGATTTTTACACTTTACAGTAGTTAAAAATTTTGTTTATGCAGTCATTTATGGACCAATTTCATTGAACCAATCTCCTGTTCTAATTTAAGGAGATCAAGACGACCCAGTTCAATGTATGTATTGCAAACCTGAAACCAGAACTGCAGTTTAGTGAAGTCAATCCTGATCAAAATAATCAATCCCGGAGTCCCGAAAATCAGGAAATAAAACCGGGAATTTCCCAGGATTCCCCAAAAATCGGGATTGCATAAAGCAAATGGAGCTCATTTTGAAGTCCCGTTTTGTGTTATAAAGTGTACAAATGTTTTGGTAATTATCATTTTTGCTTTGAACTTTAGCTCCATGGGTTACCACAAAATAGCTCTGAGCATAGCAAAGGAGAAATTATTTGCTATAATTACCAACCATTGGCAATCAGTTATAATCATAATATTTATAGTGAAATTTAAAGTTGGGTCATATCATAAACATGATGTTTCATTACAGAAAATGGGACCTCATATAAAGATGAGCACCATTTGCTTTCGGGAATCCCGATTTTCAGGAAATCGCGGGATTTTTTGGTCGGGATTCTAGAATCCCGGGATTAAATATCTTGATCGTGATTGACTTCACTATTTGAAATCCTAACCCTCAAATCTGATCAGTGATCCTAACCAGTAACTCTAAACGGCTAAACCCTAATATGACCCAATCCCTAACAAAAACATAATATAATAAAACAAAAGTTAATAAAACAAAAGTTAAATTTATTACCAATTATAGTGAAACAAATTTAAAATTTTATCCTTTATTTTACAATCATAATATAATAATATTTATAAGCCTCCGTTTTGAAAGTTTTAAATTTTAATACATTCACATTTCTGTTTAAAATTCAATTTTATGTACAAGTCAATAACTGGCCGCCAAAGCCGCGCATTCTTGAAAACAGGATTAACTTGATTATAGTTATACGACTATGTAAATTTAAAACTATCCGTGGTTTTTTCTTTTAAATAAATAAATTATAATTTTACCTAAGTCCAAAGCCAGCTTTGAAAAATTTACTATTAAATCATAATATATCGTCAACTTTAAATATTTACAATGCAACAATTCATTAATCTGTAAATACGCGTACTCCAGCCCCTAAACGCATAAATTGTTATGCGGCGCGGCTCAAGCCGCGCACGCACGTATTATTTTATACTGTTTGCTTTCTAATAAATATCGTGCCAATGTGTACGTCTAAATTGTAGACGTTCATGTTTTGTGTAAAGTGAATCCAATTGGGACTAGTGACAAGGATAAGGACCCAAGTGCCTGTACGGCTTTTTCGGACCCCTGTGGACCACTACTCTTGAAATCACTCTACAACATTGAACATCTTATATTATTCAATCAATACTTATCATAAATTCTAATATTGGAAACACTGCGCAAAATGGATGTCTTGAACTATAACTTTGTTGTCACTGATAATCTATTTCAAAGTTGAATTTTAGTTAAGTATGAAATTCCACCACATCATAGTTAGGGTAAAATATTATTCTTAAATTATAAAATTGGAAAATTGAGTAGATTGCTCTATGACTTAAAATTTAAAATTTTAGCAAAAGCTATCTAATTTTTAAACAGTTGATTACAGTTTATATTATGACAGTACAGGCATGAACATTTTTATTGTGACTGGTAAAAAGACCCAGTTGCTGTAAGGGCTTTACCGAACCCCTGGGGACCACTGCAGTATGATAAGATCAGGCCACATGTTTCTATGTAGAGCAATTTTGAATTTATTTATTTCAGAGCTATGGTTACATGATGTAGCTGGTAGTCATGTTTGAAGGTCACTTGATCCTTGTATGGCGTATGCTAATTATCCATCCAAATGCTTAGCGATGTGAGTAAATCACGCCATTCTACGATACATATAAGGTTAAACCATCAATTCGTTTTTTACCACAGAAACTGTACGGCGCTAAGGTTTGTTCTAACCAGAGCCCTCTCGCTTGCAGTAGCGCGTTGTCATACGTTGTATGACCCGCCGCGCACGAAGTGCGCGGCTCCCCATGTAGCGTCGAAGACGCTACACTATAGTGAAGCGACCGTGGGGGTCACCACGTGATACAAGTAGCGCGTATACACATGGCTATGTGAACGCTAAGGTCAACAATTATATTTTGAAAATCCTAACCCTTAATTGACTATGTCAAGCGATAATTATGGAACTAATTTTTTAAAACTGGGGTCACGATTGGAATTGGAACAGTTTTTGCCAATATTTTGCTAGGATATCATTTTAACCTTGATTCACAATGTCAATCCTTTAATTGACGATGTCAATTCATCGCAGCTCGGCGCGACACAGTAGCGCATTTCGCCGATCTAGAGGCTGTGAGAAGCCTCATTGAGTGCGCGGCGCGGCACAGTAACGCATCGCGCTACAATCAATCCTTTGCATCTCGCCGATCTGCATACGAGAAAATGCACGGCGCGACCCAGTAGTGCATCGCGCTACCAATTTTAACCTTATGTCATTGGAGTGATTTGGAATCAGTGTCCGAAAATAAATCAATTTAAATTGGTTTCAACTGTTGGGAACTTTTTTGTTTTACATTTAAGAAAAATCTCTAAGATCGAGTTTTTATATTCGAATCATTTTGCACGCTCGTTGATTGTTGAATGTTTATACACAGGGGGGGGGGGGGGGGGGGGGGGGGGGGGGGGGGGGGCTGAAACCAGGTTTTCGATCAAATGCTGCCATTTGTAGCCAAACGTCGCCAACAGTTGCTCTCGTCCAATGAAATCGCTGCATTTTGCAAGTCAGTATGCATAATTGAATTACATATATTCATATGCGGAGCTTGGCTTACATAATGCAGCAATTTCATTGGACGAGAGCAACTTTTGGCGACGCGTTTGACTACACATGGCATTGTATCACGTGGTGACCCCCACGGTCGCTTCACTACAGGGGGAGCCGCGCGCACTTCGTGCGCGGCGGGTCATACAACGTATGACAAAGTTACTCATGCTTTAGAGTTTAAACTCAAAATTAAAAACCAATTTTGCAATTGTAATTATTTTAAGTGAAACAAAAAAATTTAAAACAAAAATTGCAATTTTATTAATTTTCTTATTTTGAAATAATTGCCATTAACAAATATATATATTGTATTAAGTCATTTAAACAATTTAATAATATATTCATTATTCAATAAAATAAAATTTTTCAATTGACAGAACACAATTGACAGATAACGAAAATGGTCCCTTTCTATCAACATTATTTGAAATATCAAAAATGTAATATTCACATATACATTTACTCCATCATCAATAACAGGGAAAGTGGAAAGGAATTATTAAATTAGACTAAATTAAGAATAATTACATAAACATCATCACCATTGTCAGACTTTATTATGAGACTTCTGATAGCTATCAGAAGTCCCCTCTATATAGAGGGCCGGTATCGTCAGAATAAACTTATTGATCGAACATTATTGATTATTATAATATATATATGTTATGACGATGAATTGTGAACTTCGATTAATTTACATTTATTTGGTATTATTTGTATAATCTCTATCAGGGGGTACAGAGGTACCAGAACTCTTCCACCCACGGCAACAGGTGATTTGGACCTTAACCTGATCAACACTCCTAAACCCTAAAAGGTCATGGAGTGCTTGTTGGATGGGGCTCAAACTGCTTTTTGTTGTGATGTGAATTTGTTATATAATATTATTACAAAGGGTTTTATTTTTTACCTCAGTTTTTAAAATGTGTTCAATTTTTAAAGAATTTCTATATAGGGTCATTGCTATATCATGTGTATATTGTTTGAATTTCTATATTTATTTGGTCTCCAATTATTGAACTACGGGAGCTGGTTGCCTCAACATCTGGCATGACTGAATGGTCGAGCCGTGATTAATAAAAGGAAATATGACTTTTAATTTATAACCAAATAACTGAATAATCGTTTAAATTAATAAGCATTAAAACACAAACCATCACGTGCCGTTTAGTAGTAGGGTGCGACTGACTAGGACAACTGGGCCAATCGGTGAAAAGGCGTTCAAGAAAGTTAATATTGGCACTTACCTGGGAACCCCAGGCTATTACCTTGGCCCTGTGTTGTTCAATATCTACATCCGCTCCATTTATTCTTCTGTAAAATCAAAGCAATTTCTGATCCATGGCTATGCTGATGATCATCAGATTTACAAAACATACTTCTTTTCTCTAGCATTTGATTGATTTTGCATTTACATAGGTAAAATGAACTTGTCATGTCTAATTTTCAATTAAACTAAGCTCAGTTAATGTAAGAGCCGCTTTAGAAAGCACTGGAGTTTATCTCCAGGATTAAATTATATCGAGTTATATGATTTAGCTATAAGGCGGTTTATAAAAGTTGTATTTATTTATTATTATTATATTTTCGTCTGCTACAGAATATGAGGTCCTTAGCGAAGACCTGCCTTCCTGCTTTCAAGAAATTGAGAGCTGGATGACAGATCACTTCCTTCTACTGAATCCTACAAAAACGGAGATTATAGTTTTTGGTTCAAAACGTTTATTGTCGGAATTAGAAATTGGTGGTGTCTTCCTTAAACCTTCTGTCTGTATAAGACTCGTTAATGTTACTAAAAACCTTGGCTTTACATTGGATTCCTCACTGTCTCTAAATCCTCAAATAAAGAAGCTCAAAGCTGCAAACTGCCACAAGATGCGAAACATTTCAAAGATGAAACCATTCCTCTCTGAAGCCCAAATGCAAATCATCGTACAATCTCTTGTTATTAGTTCCCTTGACTACTGCAATGTACTTTACTTTGGAACGAATCATTCTGTTTTGAAACAGCTACAATCTCTGCAAAACAGAGCATGCCGCTTAGTTAAAGGTCTAAAGAGGAGAGAAGAAGTTGAGCCCTACTTAAAAGAACTTCATTGGCTCAAGGTACAAGAACGTATTGAATTTAAAATACTCCTGCTAACTTTCAAACTGCTCCATGGGCTAGCACCTTCATACCTGTCAAACCTTGTCAAGTACAATTCCAGTGGTGGCAGAGATGTGTCTCTTCATTGCCCCATAAACAGTCCACCCAGAGCCTTCTCTTCATCTGCTCCAAGATTATGGAACAATCTTCCTCAAGAAATCAGGAAATGTGTAAACATCAAGGACTTTAAGGGAAAACTTAAAGCTCACCTGTTTAGAAAGTCCTTTGATTTGTACTGAGTAACTTATCCATTATAGAAGGTTTTAAAAAACAATTTACATCTATAGCAGGTCATTTTTACGCTTTAAATTAAATTATTTTAGGCTTTTAATTTTCAAGGATTTTTGGGCAACATTTAAGATAATAATCTTTTTTGCGTTTCATTGTGTCTGCCATCAAAATTGTATTGTAGGTCAGAAGAGGAGGCTCTATCCTGGGACACCAACATTTTTTGGGTTGGCACCCGGGAGAAAGCTACCTTATTCTTTGTATTTTGTCTCAAGTACTAGAGCATTTTTTTCCTCTCTTTATTTCACCGTCTCTACTTTTATGTTGCCCAGATTGTTTGGTATGACTGTATTGGATCTTCAGATATAATTTTTATCGTCAGTTACTGTTCTGCAGTAATCTCTTTCTATCAATTTTTATTGTATATTGGAGTATTCAGATTGTTTGTATATTTGGAGTCTATAGAATTTCTATAGAATTTTTATAGAATTTTTAATATTTTAGGGAATTTCATTTTTATTATCCTGATTTTTACATTTGATAGGCTGATGAGTTTCATACTGTGATTTCTTGCAGTCATCATCCTTTCCTCAAGTCCTCTGTTAGAAAACCTGCTAAGCCTGCTTGTTAGGTGCATCTGCCTTATTTAGTCACGATTTTATTAACAGTTTTTAACGTCTGTTTTCTGAACAGTTTCTTGTTTCACCTAAGGCAAAGATGCACACTCTCGTTAACTTAAGTATCATTTACAGCTGAGCATAAGGGTTAAATTTAAATTATTTAACCTTTTGGTGCTGTATAAAAATAACATTAATTTATTATTATTTATTATTACTACTACTACTACTATGTCGGAACTAAATCTGATCTACGCCAGATAACCCCCTCCATATATCCCTGTCCTGCATTAGGGTACGTATTTCATCTTTAGAGTTTGTCCCAACTTCCTTCAGTAACATAGACAAGTAGCTTTGTCTCATAAACATAGAGATTAGAGTAGAGAGATTCGGCGGAATGACAGGCTGAGCGCGCGCCACCCAGTAATAATGGCACTCGAGTCGTTGATCTTGGCATTTTGAGCTGCCTTCATTTAGCTTCTGTCGAATGAAATTATCATTAATTCAAATTGAGGCAATCAGCCGATGCGCGGCTTTTATGGTTATCTATGATGTGTATAATTTGTAATAAATATCGAAAATTCAAATTTATATTCTTTAAAATTTGTATTCCTAATTTGTTTTCCATCTTCTTGCCTCTCAACATTACGAATCTCACATGCCTTATCATGTTACATTATCTTTCACTCTTCTTTCTAGCCATAAGATCCGCTAGTCTGTTAACAAACCGCTTGCAACCTTTAGACATGCCTCTAGTTGTGAGAAATACAGCCGGGGTGAAGGTAACCTTCTCCACAATGTGTGTGTTAAATACAATTTCAGCTTTGATTTGCAATTCGTGAATAACTCATTGATTCTTTGTAGCTGCTTGATAATGTCAGCTTTACAGCATACCTCCAATACCGCTCCCCAGCAGATTTTTACATTCAGTAACAGAACTGCAGAACAATGTGTTAAATATTGCCAGGCAATTAAAATTCTGTTCAAAGGGTTCTGTTGTTTCAGTCACTGAGTAAATAATATTTTCTGTTGAAATGACTTCCTATTATCACTCATTCGAGGAATATACAAAATTAGATAAAATCATAACAAAGGGAGCTCTAGCTACTCAGATGACTGAGATATCAAGGAACTGAACAGTACCTGCACTTTGAGAATCGTGAAGAAAGCCTGATTACCGTGTTGTAGCACGCTATCACATGATTACCTAACTCCGGAACGGATTATAAATACGTTTTGTGTCATTTTTCAAGATCATATTCTACATTTAATAAAAAATTACATTGCAATGCAATGCGTTCCATTTTAAGACATTGCAATGTCTTAAAATGGAATTTCTTGCATATTCGCATACAAAAGTACAGGCAATTCAATGTTGATTGAATTGTGTGTGGAGTAAGAGTTGAATTTTAAAATGGTGACGGAATTCTCGAATGAGCAGTAACAAAATACCATTTGCAAAGTTATTGGTCTCAAATATGAATCATGGCTATGCTATAAGACCCAATGTGTCGTGTGTACTGACTTTTGCCCCCCCCCCCCCGGCCCCCAGTATTCTTTGTTGAAAACATATACAACTTTAGGAAATACAACTTAAAGAACTGTAAATGTTGTTATTTAAAATTTGTCTCTAGGTGCAAATGACCAGTAAGAATGTCAATATTGTATCCAAATTATACAACAGACAGCTTGGTGGAAGGGTTAGTCATAATTTCATTTTATCAGTAATAACTTTTATATCCTGTGCTTTTTTATCTCTTTTGTTGAATCCCTGCTAACTGATGACTGTACGTGAAATAATTGATCACAGGTATTCAAAGATAATCATGTATATTGATGATCAGATGATAATCAGATGATAATGAATAATTAATCACCTGATAATGAATAATTTATCACCTGATAATAACTATAAAACCCTTTAATCCAGGTGACTGGAGGATCAGGTCCCCCAGAGAGAGAAGTGAGGTTGTGTGAACCACGGAAACCTTGGTACTACTTCCCCTTGAAGAGCATTATAGACACCCATCAGGCTCTGCTGAAGGGACATGTACTGCTGGGGTTCCTCAAGGATGGTATTCATCTCATTTCGTATCTCTGCCAGGTAATCATTGATGTTTTAAATTATATTGTTTGCCATGTTTTTATAGAGTTCGTAATTTGTAGGTTTTTTATATGTAATTTGTAGTTTTTTTTAGAAGTAAGTGGAATTATGACACCTCGAAGCATGGTTTGAATTTTCTCTCTATGAGAGAATAAATAATTTCTTATTCTTTTCCATGGCCATGATGGTTCTGATGCCCATGGTTCTAGTTAAAGGTAACCGTTCCCAAACATCCTCAGGTAGAACCAAGTGAAGTAGATATTTTACATTCTCTTTACACTTACACTCTCTACATCTGGAGATTTGATCTCGGTAAGATTTAACTTTCGAACGTCATGCTTGTTGTGTTGTAATGAGTCAAATTCAAGTGTGTTTATATTTTACAACGTAAGAATATCTGTAATATAGTGACCTAGTCTTAATATATACGGAGAGGGTTCGGTCGGGAGGTACTATTTCACTGAGTGTATTAAGTGCTGCAGTCAACAAAAAACAAAAAGCTGGGGGATGGAATGTTTACATTTGTGCATTTAAATAGGATTTAAACGAAAGAGCACAGGCCTCTTTAAAGGCCATACTTTCAATAGATTATATCAGTTTGAGTATCTAAATTTCTAAAACCAACGTTATTTCTGAAAGATATTGTATCTCTACAGGAAGCCCATTGCAAAAGCTGTGGACGTATCCCCTGTTTGTGGGCGAGACTATCACCTCTGATTTACAATTAGTCATATGTGAAGCTGCTGAGTAAGATACTTTATAATTATACTGCTTTTAAATTGGCATGTTAATTAATTAATTAGTTAATTAATTAATTGGCATGTTCTGCTTCCGCTATAATACATATCATTACTTTTCATCATTCGTCTGAAATATGTCTATTAGAGATGAGATGTTTCGAGTGAACTGTAAAATTTTCTTAGAAAGTTCTAGAACAAGTTGCATCTCAGGAATGACAGACTAGTAGTCCACGGAGCTGAAGTGAGACTTGAAGAGATCTCAAGTTCTCGACAATGTTATGTGTCTATCTTCCCTTCCCCTGACCGTATTTTGCGTACTCAGCACGACTTACAGAGTGACGCCTACTTTGTTCACTTCAAATACGACATGCAGCCCCCTTACCCTCCCTTCTCTCCTCTGTTAAGGTAAGACATGCAGCCCCCCTACCCTCCCTTCTCTCCTCTGTTAAGGTAAGACATGCAGCCCCCTTACCCTCCCTTCTCTCCTCTGTTAAGGTAAGACATGCAGCCCCCTTACCCTCCCTTCTCTCCTCTGTTGAGGTAAGACATGCAGCCCCCTTACCCTCCCTTCTCTCCTCTGTTGAGGTAAGACATGCAGCCCCCTTACCCTCCCTTCTCTCCTCTGTTAAGGTAAGACTCGTCAGTACAGTTTTTAGGACGGTGTTATGTCGATAATCGTGCACATACATACCTCTGAATTAACAAATTTTGACTCTAACTCATATAACCCACTAAAACCTCAGCCTGAAGCTAAAAGACTCCGTGATATGCAACACGGGAGACAGTATAACAGTGATGACAGTACAAACCCACGGCGCGCAGTGCACCCCCGACAGCAACGTGGCGCTTTCAGTTCCCCCCTCTCCTGCACCAAGCAGTACTGCTAGTCACTCTAGTGAGGGAGAGTCTGATATCTCTGATATGATGCAGCCTGACAGCAAGAAAGCTAAATATGTCTGCAGGTTTGGTATTGTAATAATTCTGTTGAAGTTTTAACTGATTATTATAATCAATACGAAATTGATGGATGCTGGAGGAAATGATGTGGAAATGACTGTTGGTAGGTAATATTGCTTTGTGGCAAAATTTCGATCATCATCTTAAAACGCAGTGCATTATCGTATCCATGTTATCGTGTATTAAAGTAGATTAATCAACAAAGAAATTATCAAACGTGGACGTAGAAAATAACACAACACAGCGATTACCCGCTAAAGATTGTACTATAACAAACACTATCAAAATTACAGTCAATTTATTTACTCTTTGAAATTATTTACTCTTTGTTGCATAAAATGATAAGATTACAATTTGTTGGCCAGAACCAAGACTAGGTTTTAATAATTGTGACTAAGAAGCTACTTAAATCTAGAATATTCATGCTGTGCCTAACAAGATTGTCGACAAGGTATTTAGGTATTCAAGTTATGATGAGCTGATGTTAAATATGAAATTGACAAGTCAGTTGGTAATGGTATTAATCTGCAGTCACCTGCACCCAAAGATAATCCAGTGTAGAATCTTAAGATTGATGGTGATCATGTAGACATAAAAACGAGGTATCTCGAGGCGATCCGCTTGTGACTCGACTAGTATAAAACTTATTAAAATAATACATGAATCTATTACATTTATTGGTGTGAGACAAGTTCTACTTCTTTGTGGATGGCCGTAAAACGCCGAAACCAAACTTTTAGTCGAGTCACAAGCGCAAAAGGGTCGCCTCGAGATACGTCGTTTTTATGTCTTCATGATCACCATCAATCTTAGGTGTTTGAGTTCGTATTTCGCAGCTTTTAAGTTTAATAGCATTCTTCCCTGAGCAACATAACTGGAAATAGATTGCAAATGTAGGTACAAAGTCTTAACATATTCGACAATTAGGATTAACAAACACTGCACTTTCACAGATCCCTTTATAAGAATTTTACACATATCACCACTCGTTCAACAGCCGATGAATGACGAGACTTTAAAGTTAAGAGAAATAAGCAGCGTTATATTATCACACCTCCATGTTAAAAAATCATCTTAAATTCAGAATTAGTAGATCTTGAATTTATAAAGTCAGTCATTATAGTCTAAACATTTTATTCACCACCATTTTGACGATCAGTATGAATCATTCCAAACATCTACATGTTATTCTGAACTAATCCTGTTTATAAAATCCCGTTTTTCGATACCAAATTCTCGTCCCTACTCCAAACACACTGGTTACAAACCGGTTAATTTATTGTAGATATCATTCCCAATCAGGCGGTACCCCGGTCGGTACCACGGCCGTGGCTGGTACCACGGCCGGTACCACGACCGTGGCCGGTAACACGGCCGGTACCACACGGCCGGTACCACACGGCCGGTACCACACGGCCGGTACCACACGGCCGGTACCACACGGCCGGTACCTCGGCCGGTACCACACGGCCGGTACCTCGGCCGGTACCACGGCCTGAATGCTCTGCTAGATGTATACACTATACAGGGATGCTAGATGTATACACTATACAGTATACAATACATCCAGTACAGGTCTACTTGTGTACATTAGCTGGTAGTCTGTTACACACTGCTGGTGTGACTCATGCTGTGATCACACTAATTACTTAATTACACTAATTGTTGTAATTATATAATGACTGAAACGGTGCATTATAACTGCTATAATTACACTGTCTCTAGTAATGTATCACATGTAATAAATACAGTGAAGTAATAGTGTACTTTTCAAATGATGTTGTATTTCAGGCACTGTATTATTAGTGACTGTAAGATTGTACTAAGTTAGATCTGCGTGTGTGTGAGATAACACCTTATTTTACTGTATTATATATTGTGATACGTATAACTCTGTACTATGTGTATAATGTATTATGTGCTATGTGTATAATGTATATCTGTGTTACTGTGTTATAACATGTATTATGTATATAATAATGTATTATAATGTATCTGGGTATGATAATTATTGAAAGTTTACACTTTACACACGAAGAGAGCGTTACATAACCTCCCCAACCGTAAAGAACCACAACCAACCGGCAACCATCCAATTAAATCTTTACATAATACCACGTGACGCAATATTTCCTGAACATCACGTGACCTAGCACGTGACCTAGCACGTGTCCTAGCACGTGTCCTAGCAACCAACCATTAACCAATGGTTATGCTGTATCGGATCACGTGACTGTGGATTTGTTATCTGGTTGGTGGCTGATAACGCGCACAGTAGTGTTCAGCTAACATACGCAATTACACACGCTATGTGTAATGCAAAGGCTGCATGAAATGTACTGTGTGATATATATGATATGTAATCATTCCACTGTAATTTTAGCAACCAATTATATTGCATTATTGATATTTGCACGGTGAACATTGAACTTTTACGACTACATATCATGACATTAACTAAAGTAGTGTTTTTCATTATTATCTTGAAAACGTTCGTAAGTTCGGTGACATTTGAAGTATTTTACTTCTGATAACAAAAAAATATTCCGAAACGTCTCATGCTGCAGTCTAGAAATATTTGTTTTGTGTGTAGAACTGTAAAGGGGGGAAAACTTGGAATTTTAAGCCCAGAGGTTTTAAATGCATTGATCTCAAATTCCCACGAATCGCTCAAACGGGAGAATTTCTTTAATTAATCAAACAATTATCCTATTGCCTAATTAGTTACTCAATTTCAGCTGTCCAGCGCTGCGGAGTTCTGAACACTTATCCACCTGTGTAGTAGGAAGGATGGACACGGTCCACGTGGCCACAGAGTGTGATCTCTTCTCTCCCATCTTACAACAGAGGAGGAAACGTTTCCGGTCCAAAAGGAGACTTGCCTCGCAGTCTCCGAAAATAATGGGCGACAAGAAATCTAATCAGGTGAGAAGAACTTGTTTCATGATGTTTTGTGTGTTTGTTTGGCGAAAGAGGTCACGAAGTATACGCGACTATGGTTATGCTTCATGCTTTCTGTTGTTTTAAATTTTTTGTTCGCGTGAAACTGTTGTATATTGATGTTATGCTATACGTTATTCACTCCTCCCTACCCCACCCCACCCCTCCGCCTAATTCCTTCCCGGATCTCGTTAATTAAAGCTAACTGAAAAATGGATCGATCATCTAGTCAGATTGGACACGTGTCTACAAATTATAATTAAAGTTAGAATCAAGTTTACACAACATAATAATAATCGGGATTTGTCGGGCATGTTGGAGGAGAGTGAGGAGCTGTTGGGAAATCCTTCCGCTGCTGTTGATAAAGTTGGGTTTTGAGAACTCGTGGTTCATGCGCTGCCCCGGTCGTTTTATTTGGTGTAGTGTAGTGTTTGAAGACTGTACAAACAGATACAGAGAAAGAGACGGCTGTCGAGGAGGTTGGTATCATTATGCATGGGGTTATATTGGCAAATCTCAGCGTCTTACCCATACTAAAATATGCGCCTACTATTGAGTTAAAGACATGAAGTACAGATCTGGCGGTACCAAATGGTATAAAGAATGCCAAGTATGTGAAATATAACGAAGAGAAAGTACCGGCTCTTACCTAAAACCTAACCAGTGTTTCAGCAGCAATGACAGTGAAGTCTGATCTGTACACCTACAGTACAGTATGTACAGTATGTACAGTATGTACGGTATGTACGGTATGTACGGTATATTATGTACGGTATGTACGGTATGTACAGTATGTACAGTATGTACAGTATATACAGTATGTACAGTATGTACAGTATGTACGGTATAGTATGTACAGTATGTACAGTATGTACAGTATGTACGGTATATACAGTATGTACAGTATGTACAGTATGTACGGTATGTACGGTATGTACGGTATATTATGTACGGTATGTACGGTATGTACAGTATGTACAGTATGTACAGTATATACAGTATGTACAGTATGTACAGTATGTACGGTATAGTATGTACAGTATGTACAGTATGTACAGTATGTACGGTATGTACAGTATGTACGGTATGTACAGTATGTACAGTATGTACAGTATGTACGGTATAGTATGTACGGTATGTACAGTATGTACAGTATGTACAGTATGTACAGTATGTACAGTATGTACAGTATGTACAGTATGTACAGTATGTACGGTATAGTACATGTACAGTATGTACAGTATGTACGGTTTGTACAGTATGTACGGTATAGTATGTACTGTATGTACGGTGGCTGTGAGGGACACACTATTCTCAGAAGAGTTGGGTGAAGAACAGTGGGGCGGGAACTAGGGGAGGGAGGCTATGTGAGGACAGGGTTCTCAACTGTCGTCTTGGTGATCAAACATATCACCGAGTTCCTGGGTAAAGATGAGGAAGATACTCCAGATGGAGATGATGAGAGAAGGAGAGTTCAAAATCACGGATCTTTGTGGGGAGTGCCTCTGTAGTGACATGAACTGCAACCACAGTTATAAATGTAACAACTACTGGTCCCAGTGCAGTGTGGTATGTGGTATTACAGGAGCCTAGCAGTTATGTGAGATATGCTAAGAATGGTGCTGTCTTAGTGCTACTTGCTCTAAACACGAGGACTTTGCTCTTAACAAATATAACAGTTGTGACAGTAACTGTTCTGTCAAATTGAAAGTAATGTTGAGAGTTTGATCTTCTTTATTGTTCATCAACGCAAAGTAACCCTGATACCAGATTAACAGATTTTCAAAATCTAGAGCCTTGTGAATATTATTCAATATTTTATGGATCACTTCAGAGTTTTAATAGAAAAGAAATAGGAAGTATTCGAAAGTTGGTGTATTCCGTCAATCTGTAACAATTCCGTGATATTTGCCTGAGATTAATTCCCCCTAATCCGCCCTTGTGACGGACTTATACCCTAAACTTATGTATCTACCTCTATTTGAGGAAGGAATGTGTCAGCAAGATACTTCTAAGGGAGGTTAATATGGAGTTGTTTATGGGGTGACCGGTATCAAACATCGGATCACCTCGTAAGATTTGATTATCAGACGTATTGTCATAGTACAAGTAGGAAAGTGTCGGAGGAGCAGGCAGCGGTATGTGATTGTGACACATGATCACCGGAAGAAAACTCAAAAGTTTGGTTTTTTCGCCGACTTTTAACAAAAAGCTGGCCAAAAGTGGTATACTTGTGTGCACACGCGAAAGCTTATTTTGTTGACCATGCAACGCGAAAATTCAAAGCGCGCAACGCGCGCACGTACCGGACCATGCAATATAAGAATGCGCTTAATTTATGAAGGAGTAGGTGTTTTCCAACAAGGGGTCGTTCACATATTACGTAATCAATATTTTGGCAATTTTTACCCCCCCCCCCCCTCCGTAATCAACCGTAATCAAGACCGAACCCCCCCCTATATTACGTAATCAATGTTTGACCCCCCCATTAACAGCTATCACAACAGATTAATGAATGAAATATCAAATAATCGCAAAGCACTTACTAAACGAAAATTGGTTTAAAAAAACGAAAATGTTGGTTACATAATTAACGGAAATTGTCCAATTGGTATTTCGAAAATCGGTAAAAAATTAAAATTTTGATTACGTAATCAACGACCAAACCCCCCCCCCCCCGTAATCAACCGTAAGCATTTGAAAACCCCCCTTCGGCTGATTACGTAATATGTGAACGACCCCCAATGGGATTGAAATTTGAAATCATTTGTTGTGAAGGTTAGCTGACATTGAAAGAAATAGACAAGTCATCAGTGATGTTTTGCAGGTGCAGTCGCTCTAAATAAACAAGTCACAGATTACTGGGGACACAATGAGAGTCTCCACTCACTGTAAAATCACATGAAAATTAAATGTAGCCAGTAGAACAATTACGAATCTCCTAAATTTTAATATAAGAAAAAAAACTGAAACGGGCAGATACACAATCAAAACTTTAAATATCATCATTGTCAAGATAAAAGTCTGAAAGAAAGAGAGCTGTAAACAAAATAAATGTTGGTGTCATCCAATCGAAGTTTGCTGGTGTACTATAATATCATAAGATTAAATTTGCCTAGAAGCACAATTTAAGGTCTGTCGTGCATTCAGCCCTTTGCATATCTCCCCAGCACTAAATCATAAATCCTACACTTAAGCCACGTTTTCCCTTCCCTCAGGAGATGTCATCTTGTACACAACCCCTCCCCTTACATTCCCCAGTGTTCTCACCCCAAACCTTCTCCCCCCTGTTCTTACCCCTCTCCTTTTCCAGGTTGACTCGGTCACCACGTTCTCAACTCGAGTGTTTGGCTTGTCTCCAAGTCCAAAGGTGCTTGGCAGAACACGATACGACGCTACACAAACCTTATACCCTGTCCTAACTACCAGCCTAATCCATGGTTCTCTGCGTCCCACCTACACTTGGGTCTCCGAGCAGCCGCCTCCCCACTCTGCTCCACTCCAAGATGACTTTGTCACCGTGAAACAGGCTTCATTTGACGCGGAACTGTACATAAATAACGCAGTAGGAGAGCACAAAGCCCTGTCGGCGCGCTACCTCTCGTTACGCGACTACGACGTGAGATTATTGGAAGTTTGCCAGGGATCAAGCACAGTACTTGTTCTGATAATGGTCCTTTGTATCGCTAATCACGACACTCAGCCCCACAAAGAGGTTCTGGTATCGAGCGGTTTTATCCTTTCTTGGAACGTTAACACAGGCTCCGCTACCACTATGGAAATACTGCCTATCCACGAGTTTGCCAACAACTCGTGTTCCGCTAAACGGTGGTGTCCGGGGGCTGAATTGGCTCTGGAACTCAGAAAGAAGTGGTTTGTGCCTTGTGACTATAATAAATCAGTCAGGGCTTTCAGTAATGCGTCAGTTTTTTCAGGTCAGAGTTTAACTAAACTGCCTCATCCGTATTTGCCAGTGGCGATAATTTTAGAAACTGTTCCTGGCAGATTGTAGATTGTATATATTTTATTTTGGGCAAGGTAAAACAAAATCTTGATTAATATAGAATGCTTTCGACTATCTGATATAATTAACTTTATCAAATTTACAAGACGAAGGAAATTGTTTTATCTTGCCATAATATATAACATATTTTACATAAAGTATTGTTCTGATTTATATACCAGTTTGTTGAGTTTTTCAAATTTCAAACGTTGGACAAGTTTTGCGTACCACTTTTGAAACGTCGATACAACGGTACATTTGCTACTGAATTACTCGAGTTTTTCGTATTATTGATATATTATTGAATTCAAAATTTACATTAATAACGCCTCAATTCCTTGTATAACTACCATAATTTTAATCTTCGAATTCAAGTTGCGATTCTCTCCTCATAGTTGTGAGGTAATTGGAAATATGACTCAGAATACCCAGCGCCTCGGCTTCGATCCAGAACTTCTATCCTTTTTCTTCCTTTAGCTTTGTCTACACAATACACATATATATTCATATAATAGCGTGCGCCTTTGAAATTAAGGCCTATAAAGGTAATACAATAACAATAATGAATTTATAAAAATCTCGTCACAACTATTTCTCCCAAAACCCTGTGAACGGTACCGTTCCCGGTACTGTGAACGGTACTGTGAACGGTACTGTGAACGGTACTGTGAACGGTACTGTGAACGGTACTGTGAACGGTACTGTTCACAGGGTTTTGGGAGAAATAGTTGTGACGAGATTTTTATAAATTCATTATTGTTATTGTTCATATTCTTCCAAAAAGTAAAAATAGAGAACAATACCATTTACTAAACACCCTACGCGCGTGGGGTGGACTTCTGGGGTGGACTTTTATTCAGCGCGTATTTTGTAGCCTGTTCAACTTGACGTTTTGAATCGTTACTATCTCAATGTCACAGATACACAGAATGAGAGGTGATCATCTTAAAGAGAAACGTCTCAGCTTTCACCTGGTGTAAAGTTTATCTTTGTACTCAAAATATAGCTCGCTCAGTGTGCAATTATAGAAGTTGACAATACAATAACCACGCCCGCGACCGGTCGTCAGATACCGGAGTGTTGCACAAAATTAGGTCCCCAAATTAAAATTCTATGACACAGTTACCATGCAGAAATGTCTAGGGAAACATTTGGTGAAAATTTGAAGGGTCTACTGTTAATATTGCAAAAGTTATTGAAAACAAACTAGCTTAATCAGAAGTTTTTGGGAAAATTTCAAATTTTTTACGTAGTGGGGTCTACTGGGGTGGACTATCGCGACGCGCATCTGATGGCGTGGCTTTTTCAACAGCAGTCAGTACGGCCAATATCAGAGCACAAATTATTGCGAGTAAGACCTTAATGGTCAGCTATGAACCCCTCACTAGAATAGTAACCGTATCTAAAAACAAGGAGATGTTATTCCGTCAAAGCTCAAATTTTTTACTCTTCTCAGTGCAGTTACTATGAATGTACTAGCTAAGTATCGTTGATCGTAGCTGCATTACACAGTAGAAGGTAACCAAGGAAGACTGCTGATTAACGAAGCAATTTCAACGTGAACAGTTCCAAAATACATAATCATGGCGACGATAGTTCAACTTGAACCTTTATAGTTTTTACAGTCTAAGATCACAATAAAATCACGTGAACTGCGAATCACAAAATCAAATCACTCAAATCTGATACAGTCCCGTTACAGTACGCTTTCGTGACAACCTCAACGCTTAAAAAATAAATATTCTGCAGTCTTGTGACCACCGATGGCCCTAACCCTCCCTTGTCCGCGAGGAGCATCGTTGCGACCATGGGTTTCAGTTCTTTGTTCTTCCCACTCGGCTTCGATAGATCGAATTGGCTGGAAGTCAATCTATCAGAAAGACCTTTGTCGATCTCAGGGGCGTGGTAAATTGTGGATGTCGGAGTATAAAGCTTCCTGAAAAGATTGAGACATTCACTCGGTCTGTTGTAAATATCGAATAGTCCTTGTAGGCAGAGATTTAATTTATGTTGGGTTTGATAACTAGAGAAGGCGATTTGATATTCATTGATAGTATAAGAGTCTGAGTATAAGCATATAAGCATAAGTGATAAGTTTATATACCCTTTTTATGGTACCTCGATATCAGTATTGAGTAATCATCACTCAAAATCTACTTATTAAATTTATTAACTAAACAAGTTAATGTATTACCGTCCTAGAGAGGTTTTCCTGAGAATTTGAAGTCTCTGTAGGTTGCTGACAGGGGGGATGCAACGACCATTAATGACCATTAATGACCATTAATGACCATTAATGACCATTAATGACAATGTCAGTTTTGTCAAAATTTCATCTACTGACATTAATGGTCATGTTTTTTCCGGCACTTCTTAGAGCGAAAAGGACGGACGCCTGCATCACTTAGACCCTACCTTAAGTTAACTAACTACAAGTATATGTTTGTGTTATTATTTTACATTTACAATTAGAGATTCGAAAGAGAAAACTTAGAATAGAATCTTCCGTGGTTAGGCAGACCTTCCAGAATATCACTTGAGTGGATTCCAGAGTGAGTTAGGGGGGATTACATTTATTAAGTTCGAATGTAATGAAGAACAAATTTTGCGGCCACGGGATTTAAACCAGATAACAGTTGGTGACTTATAGTTATCAATAATAATAATTCAAAGGGCAATTTAGGAGTATCAGATCGTATCAATAGTAAAATATCAATCAATAATAAAATAATAATAACACGGGTATTAAAATTAAATACTTCGTTCCCGTTCTTATATCATATCAAGATTTATATTTTAGCCAAATCATTATGCTAGTCGATTATATAGTAATTACACAGTAGATGAACTTATTCAACTTTAGCACTTCATGAAATACATCGTCATCAGTCTGAATCGGACAACAAAATGCTGATCTTTTCCTAGGATTAGATAGAACAATTCGTTTACAGTTCAATACTCTGCCTTCGGCAGTTTTGACCCAAAATCGAGCCCTGTCATCATGATAGGAACAAATTGATGCGGCAGGAATTCGTCTAGATCTGCAGTTGCCCTTTTTTGAAGCAGAGACACTCATTGATAAGATGGTACCGAGGCAACGAAGGGGACGTTTAGCCTTTTTTGGAACAAAGGTAGCACTTAATGAGTCGCCCTTTCGAATTGTTCGACGTTGACAGGGCTTAGAAGAATTTTTGCAGCCCGGTTGGTATGGCACAGAACCCTCGAAACAGCCGGTACCAAAAAATTTCGATCTCCGACTTTTATTTCCAAATATCGTCTTACCAAAATTACAGAACTTCGTAATAGCGGTGTTTTTGTTCATTTTCTTGTTTTTTATAGTAACTAAGTCATGAAGATCCTTGTCTTCACTTTCACTATCTGGTGCGACGAAATCTGACTCATTATCTGATTCCTCTTCTCTTTCATCATCACCAGGGTACAGTTCGGAAAACTGCAATGCAACACGGTTGGCCTTCGCACGAATTAAATCACTGTCACTATTCAAGTAGGACTTTTTGTACCCAGAAGATGACATTAATGGTCATGCATGACCATTAATGAGAAACTTTATAGAAGTGATACAAAGTGATCATAATTATTAATTGTAAATTTCTTGGACATGTTGCTTCCAAGATAGTTCAGAATTTCAATTATTTAATGACCATTAATGACCATTAATGACCATTAATGACCATTAATGACCATTAATGACAATGTCAGTTTTGACAAAATTCCATCTACTGACATTAATGGTCGTTGCATCCCCCCCTGCTGACATGTCTACTAAGCTCTTCAATTGAGGAGTTTTGGACCCCGCGGCGGTCCAAATGATTTATAATGCTGTGGGCATTTTCAACATCTATCGAGCTAAACGCCCTCGCAGCATAACCTGTAGAGAATGAACATGTCATCAATGCAAAGTTCAATGATAAAAATCAGAGTGGCCGATTTCAACGGGCAGAATTCGAATATCATGGCCTTGGGGAATGGACTATTTTTTGTCGATTTTACTAACCAAACTGGCAAACGATTGTTGATTTTCGTCACTAGTCTAAAATGAAAGCAAACGTTCGGCCGAACATTTACATGATTAAAAACTTACCGGTTTCTTTCGTTATTATGTACAGACATAGCCGGGCTTGGGTTCCGCATACGATATCTTCTATCAGATTAAAGTTGAACCCACACTTTGTACTGCTCGTGGGAGGAGGAAAGCAAACTGATACCTTTTCCATGAGCATCTCGTGTAGTACCATCATCATTTCGATTCTGATATAAGCTGCAAAATTCGTCTATTACTAATTTTCGAACTTCGTATCTTGGAAATAACAACTTCTATGAAAGAACACACACACAAACACACACAAACACACACACACACACACACACACACACACACACACACACACACACACACACACACACACACACACACACAGACGCACAGAGACACACTCACACACACAGACAGACAGACAGACAGACAGATACACACACCCACAAACACATACAGACATAGACACACAGACACAGCATAAACACAGACACACACAGGGGGTGATGCAACGTCAATTAATGTCATTTAATGTCAATTAATGTCAATTAATGTCAATGTCAGTTTTGCAAAATTTTGGAATACTGACATTAATTGACACGATATTTTTCGACCAGAGATTATGTAGTTCTACCATATTTTTAGCACTTTAGAACGTTTATATCATCAATTTATTCACTACTATCACATATGGAAATGTGAAATGTGAAAAAATTCAGATCATTAAATAATAAAACTAAAATAATACGGTTTTCCGAAATTAAATTTTCTTAAATGGACGTGGCCATCCAAGGGCGTGGTTCTCAACATCATCAGAACTTAAAACCCACATTAAACGGAATGCCTTCATGACATTTATATTTGAATAACGAATCTTAAACAGCTAACATTACTCCTTCATACTAAAAAAGCCGATTCTAGATATTTTACCTGTATAAGAAACCAATAAAATATGGGCGTGGCCGGTGGGGACCGAAGATGGAAGAGTTGGAAGCTGAAATTTTTTTTGGTGGCCTTTGAACCTAAGAATCAACAGATAAGAACATACTCATAATTATTCAAGGACATTTTGTTTTTTTGAACCGGTCTAACTTACATAGACGTGAATATCTTGAATATTTATCGAATAATGATAATCTCAAATTTCAAGACAAATTAATGTCAATTAATGTCAATTAATGTCAATTAATGTCAATGTCAGTTTGGGGTTTTTATGGAATACTGACATTAATTGACGTTGCATTACCCCCCACACACAGACACAGACGGACACACAGACAGACACAGTTACACACAGACATACACACACACCCACAAACACACCCACAAACACACACAGACACATACACACACAGACACACACACATAAACACACATAGTTCACTTCAGTACACTACATTACAATTACAGACACACGCAGTACAATCAGAGACACACACTCGATACAAAGACAGACACAGGCACAAACACACAGAGTACACTTCAGTACAATCACAGACGCAGGCACAAAGACATATACAAGAAGAGCAGATTGAAGTACCTTCATTTGCAGATGTTGACGCATTGATCTGTGGGATATGTTCTTCAGTCTGTAACTGATCATCTGCTAGAACTGTCTCATCTGGATCAACCGGAGGAGTATCTTCCGGCAGGAGTCTGAGTGGGTCTATCGGGACAGCCATGGATCGCTCTCCGTACCTTGCTGAAATAAAGACAAAGGTCAACGACGGATGTCGCATGTCAGTCCTGTAACTAAATGTAATGCAAAATAGTGAATAAATAATTTTTACATCTGAACGATTGTTCATTGATTCTTTGAATCTGTTCATTGATTCAAAGAATCAATGAACAAAAGTTCAGGATTTTACCTTCTGTTAAGCTGTTAGCACTGACTCTAGCCCCCTCTCCCTACAAAACGACCATATCTCGGGCTGGAGCTTTCAACCGTCTTGCCTCAGCAGCCATCTAGCACAGTCGACCTGTCCTGTTAATTATGTGATCATCAAGTTACCAAATTTAATCCTTCAATATTCAAATAATTGATTATCAGACAAAACAGAGTTTAGAGCTCGACGTATGCTTCAGGGTTTCACACTGTGCTGTAATCAAACGCATGACTAAAACCTCTTGCTACTATTACCAATGTCAGATAAACCCATATTGTTAAGGCGGTCAAATGATTTACCTGAGTTGATCGCGTCCATGAAAGGGTTCAACTGCGCTCTGTCCAGCTTGTTAATGTCCGCTCCAGCAGCCAGCAGTGCCTCCGCCTCCGTCACTCTCCCTGCTTTGCATGGCCAGTGAAGCGTAGAGCTCCCCTCTAAGCTCTGTGACGATCCGACGAAGGATCCAGATTCCCTTCTTTTCTCTTGAGATTGCTTCAATTCTTCCTGGAGTATGCGGATTACCATTTTTATACTTCCATACAGGGCGCGTGAACAATCAGCAATGAATTATCAATTAATCAATCTAGTTTTTGAGTAAAAAGTCCACAGATTGTGATACATTGGATTTGATATTGGAAAAGACATGGCTTACCAAGTACCTTTTCATGTGCTTTTTGGAGGACAGGGATGACTTATTCCTGCGTGCCATTTCACCATAACTATCTGCTGTAACAGCAAAAATTAGAATTATGTCGGACATAATTCTAAAAAATTGGAACATTGTAGTTAATCAGTGTGGTGCTAACAACAGAGAGCGATTTGAACGGTAGGCAATTTCATAAATTTCATTAACTCGATATAAGGATGATTGGAACAGGCTAAAATCTACAATGTGGCATTAATAACTGGCTATATCGGCATCGCTGCATTAAACGATTAAAGTATTGCTAACTATGGATATTCTAAGTGATCTAGGCAGAGGGGAACCGGCACAGCCAGATTGCGTTGTCTTCACTTTCAGTGACTAAGTTTCACGATAGAAAAATTGACCTTATGTATTTTAAAAAAAGGATGCACAGTTCAAGCAATAAATCGATCGGCTGCTCATATGATATTTGCATTTAAAGGAGGGCCCAGTGCAGTGACCAGTAAATCTGTTAAGGCAACATTTAGATCTGAGATAAGCTGAGTCTTGACAAAGATAAGTGAGTTTCGAGAAAGTGCACACGGATAAAGTTATCAAGTGACAATGATAAGACTAAGTTAGGGTCAAGTCAACAGAATGGCAGCTGTAACAGAAACAGTTCATTGGATAGGGGAGTAGGGGATTATGACGGAGTGAAATTTATTTAGCAGGGCAAACAAAAAACAACTGACAGCACTGAGCAAGTGAACTGGAAAATTGAGGAACGAAAATAACAGTGGTTGTCAGCCCTTTCCGTAGCAGTCAGGATTTCCCACGAGATCGATCAGGCAATCAGGATTTCCCACGAGAATGCTCGAGCGAACGCGCGCACTTGTGTCACGTGACGGCCACGTGACGCTCTAATCGTTGTCACGTGGTACAGAAGGGAGGTTCCTAGAGCGTCGATCTCGACAAGAGGGAGTTTCTCACGGTTTATCTTCAATAACTATCGCTATTTTTATAGTAGAGAGTTGAAACTTTCACCAAATGTTTCCCTAGATATTTCTGCATGGTAACTGTGTCATAGAATTTTAATTTGGGGACCTAATTTTGTGCAACACTCCGGTATCTGACGACCGGTCGCGGGCGTGGTTATTGTATTGTCAACTTCTATTGCACACTGAGCGAGCTATATTTTGAGTACAAAGATAAACTTTACACCAGGTGAAAGCTGAGACGTTTCTCTTTAAGATGATCACCTCACATTCTGTGTATCTGTGACATTGAGATAGTAACGATTCAAAACGTCAAGTTGAACAGGCTACAAAATACGCGCTGAATAAAAGTCCACCCCAGGAGTCCACCCCACGCGCGTAGGGTGCTAAACATTGACTACAATTTTGAATTTCGGGACCCGGTATTCCATTGTTTCACTTTGTCTTGTGTTTTGAATATTGATTGTTGATGATGATGCAGTTTCAATACTTAAATATTTTTTCTAAAATTAAAATGGTTGTTAGCGTTTCGGACTAGTACAGCATTTCAAAAATTACGCGGTTGAAGCTAATTCATTGTTACGTCCACTCGCACTCTATCATGTGATCGGGCCAACTGTCCACTCCCAAATTAGCATGTTGTGATTGTCTTTTACAAATACAAAGATATGACCCGTTGTAACACAAGCTACATATTGCTACAAGGGAGAGTACACTGTGTCAGGAATGTAATTATCACTTTAAAAAAATTAATTCACGGTCTTCAAAATTTTATAGTATCAACCATGAAAGAATGGGACTTAAGAAGCTATAAGTTCAAAATCTTTATTTCCATACAAATTATTAATAATAATCATTTGTTGTCGAATAAATCACTGTTCTTGCTATATTTTTAACAATTGACACCTATCGCAATGATCGATGTTTTAATCTACAGTGAATTATTATAATGTTCTGTAAAAACATAAACATGTATATCCGGCCCTTATTGAAAATGGATAAAAACACTAACAAGTAAAAGGATCTAAAGTTTTGAGTGCAAAATTACGATATAATCAATTAACGATGTAATAATTATTTATAACTAATAATTCTAATCTGCAAAAACTACCGAGTCCATGACTCCAATGCCTATGGCGATCCCTCCTTCGTTGTTTGCAGCTGGCTTCGTCCTTATGAGTGGCCCAGCAACTTCATTCACCAAGACCTGAAAATGTTCAGTGCTGACCGAAGATAACAGTTAGCATATATACTTATATATCTTATCATATGAAAAGGTTAAGCAAAATCTTGATCACATTTGATCTACCTGATAGTGATACCTTTAATCTTTATCTAGTTCGACAAGTATCGAAGTTTGACAAGAGTTATTTTTGGCGAACTTTAGTTGTCGAACTAGAGTACGTGACAGTGAATTGATATACCTTGCCGATTCTGGAAAAGCAATTACAATTTTGGTTACCTTACCGTTACGTTACCTCGGACGGTTATAATTGACCGGACATTACGTGAACGGACATAATTTTGAACGGACATTCAAATGAACGCTCGCAGGCATTTATTTAATGTATTTAACTGCCTTGTCGGACTTTATTTGAACAGACATTAAGATGAACTCTCGGAGGCATTCAATTAATGTATTTAACTGCCTTGTCGGACTTTATTTATACGGACAATAAGATGAACTCTAGGGCCTCAAGCGTCCAATTAATGTCCATTTGAAAAAAGTACGACAAATAACAAATAACCTGACAAACTAGATTAAAATAATAACCTGACAAACTTATAAATTCCTCAAAGTCAAACCTTTTCTTGGGAATCGGCAACATACACGCAGAATAACCCAAGCTCTGCTGTCGTATCGAAAGTTTCTGACAGCTTCGCTCGTTCATTTGGTCCACTCCTCACCACCCTTTAATAAAATATCCCAATTATATGTAGGATCAAAGCTTATGATTCAACTTTTGAAGAAAATCCAAACTAAACCAACTAAAGAGCAACCTCTCACCAACTAATAAATAAGCTGCCAGTAATCCACCCTGCAGTTTTAAATCAACCAGCAGCTTATATAATCTACTATGTAGTACTAGTTACCTGTCAGTAACCAACTATAGTTCTAATAACTTGAGAGTAAGCTAATTGTTCACGGAACCTTTTAGTAACCTGTTCGGAACATGTGGTGCATTGAGGCGCTGCATGAGGACGAAAGCTTCCCTTTCGTCAGAGTCGTGGAGTTGAGTTAGCTTCTCAAGCATCTCCTCCTCCCAAATATTGTTACCTCCCCCTTCTCTACTCGGCTTCAATACCCACCCTCGTGGGTCGTCAAACGCTGCGGAATTTTTCCATTCGCCATAATTTGTAAAAAAAGCAAAAGTGAACGGTTATGAATGGTGGATTGAAATTTATTCTGATACGATTATGATCCGTGAACTTTAATACTCTAATTATAATTAAACCCCCTCCCAGTATAATCACCAAGCTGAGCTGCTTTGTCACCCTCTGCTCCTGGAGCCAACTGGTACAGCTCTGCAAACACCGATTTGACCAACTTAGACTCTCCCTCTGTCAGATACCTGGTGTTTTTGTATTATAAACGGCGTCAATACAAAATTGAGTGCATCACTTGTTTCCTGGTCAACAAATAGCAATTAAAACTTTGAGAGGAGAAAATCTTACTTCTCCATGACCCCTTTGTTTAGGAACGCTTGTTGGAAGTATTTCAGATTTATACACTGATGCCGAATATTTGGAACTTTCACCGCTTTACTCCTTTCTATTTTCAGTCTTGTCTCCCAGTGTTTCTCAGTCTTGTAATGATCTTCGTTCCACATACTCCGAAAATAGAATATCGCTATTTCTTTCCCTCGCACGTAGTACCTGATAAAAAAAGGGTGGTGAAAGTAAAACACTGGTTGTGAGGTTATGAGGTTGTGAGGTTATGAGGTTATGAGGTTATGATGTCTGATGAATAAATACGCAGCACCTTAATCCACAACTTAAATGCCTCTATTTATGAGGACTTTACTTATAGTTATGGGGGCATTGCTGTTCTACTTCTAGGGTATTGCTAGGGGTATTGCTGTTCATATAAGTACATATTCTCTATTGTACCTGTTGTCAGAGCTGAGTTCTCCTTCCTCCATGAACTCCTCGTAAGTCATCTTCATGCTTATAATACCATAGTCATCCCACATTGTGTCGATCATCTTTTGTTGATCAAACCAGTTGAAGTCATCCGGTGCAACTGGTGTGAAATTGGATCAATTGATAAAGTTTTGGCTTAAGCACCAATATATTGCATGCTCTTATTGCTTATCACTGAGAATAAAATAGTGTAAGATTCGGCAATTCTCTGAAATGTTCTCATTTTAGAAGAGCTCACCCAAAAACAAAAATACGCTCCCAGGCCTGTCATAGAGACCCCAAGCGGAGGCGATGCCCCGTACCATAGGGACCAGGGTCTTCTTGTAGGGCTGCTTCCTCTCTGGCAGCTCCCTCGCTAGGACCTGGTTGTGAAGCTCCATGACGTGGGTTCCTGTTCCCAAAAGTGCTGCTGACATCAGGTTTGCTTCCACCTGTGGGGGGTGTTTGTCAGCAGCAAAATTTGTATCTACAAATTGTAATTTTAATTGTGCACTATGATTCCGGTTTCGGGTCGGCCGTCGGGGGTCTCAGTCTGCCTAAAATTAGGAAATTATGACGTTAAATGTGTAAAATGTTGAAAGTAAAAACAAAGGATTATGGCAAAATAAGATACCATTTTGAAAGCTCCGTTGTGAAGAGCGTCATCCCCAGTTGGGTTGGGACTGTGAAACATATAGTCGTGTCTGTACATCCCAAGAGTAATCTGATTCTCGTCTAACTTTAAGTGGGAGGATGTTGTTACTTTTCGAGAAGAAAATGCTCCGTATCATTGGGAATTGGGCTTCTTTTGGAAATGGATTCAAACTTTTGGCAGATCAAACTAATTTGATTTATCTGAAATGAGTTATCAAAACCAATGCAATAGAGAATGATTGATTTGTTAATTTACCCACCACACACAGTTTGTAGATGTCCAATAGCCGCTTGGCTAGGTAGTCCACTTTAGTGCATGGTTCTATCGTCCTCGTTACGAAAGCTACATCACGACTTGATAGTTCTATCAGTTTGTTCAGTGGCTCCTGTAGAGTGTACTGAATTAAAGTAGACGCAAATCAATGTATAGTTTCGCCAAAATTATTATCACTCTGCAAGGAAAGAATTCATTTATATGTTTGATATAAAACAAACGTACCTGAGCATTAACTAAATGGTTGTATGCACTCTCTGACACAGGTGTAGGGAGGAGAGTTACATTTATTGCACGTGGTATACCCTGTGTTAGAAAACAGCCTCCCTGCAAGTTAATGGATATTAAGTTAAGTATTGATGAGTTGGTCATAGGAACCTCACAATCAAAACCAATTAAAAACAAGACTTAACGTAACAACAACTGTAATCTCGCTAAAACCCTGAAATAGAGGGTTCAACATGAACAAGGGGTCGAACAAAACGAGCGGTTGAGTTTACCTTATTGCAGAGGAATCGTTGGTACTGATCAGCAGTACCCTGGTCTGCTGATTTGAGGACCCTATCTCTATCTTCGTCAAGCTTCATGACAACTTAGCAATCAGCCAGCTCTATAGATATCCTCCTCACAGATGGCAATCACTTCAAAATGAGATCGAGTGCGGCTAGAAAATCTTAACGTAATTGTAACAAGAGAGCCTGTATTTATAATTGCCAAATGTTCGGGCCAGCACTAATGTAGTCGGCCTGGTCTAATCAGCGGGGTTACCGATCACTCAATAATTTCACGCTTCGGTTGAGATTCCTAAACTGGAGGAGAGGACAACAGTCGAGGAGTATAGAATTGCGGTGGGAACCTCTAATTAATGAGGATAACCAGGTGCACTGACCATGTGAACTGAATTACGTGGGTAACAGTACCTAAAATTTGATTACGAAATGAAACACGATATGATACAAACTCATAGGTGTAGTCAACACGTTTTACGATGGGAAATATATGGAATAATTGAATAATTGGCAATAATCGAGTGAAATAACTGAAAATGTGGAGCTGCATGGTCGACAATAATTGAACCATTGAGCAAAGAAAATAGTACAATGCAGTGAGTAATGGTTAGGATTGTGTTTTACAACACAATAAAACACAATAATCACATTTCCTCAACAATCAACATCTTGATCATGATCTGTACGGGCGTGACTGTGATAATTTAATCGGCGGTAGATCACTTTTATCTGTGTCTCCTGTATGGTTCCTAATCCTACATCGACTTTCAGTCCAGACAGAAATCTTGTGACGCATCAAACAGACATTTTTGAAATTCTTAAACGCGTTCCGAAGCCACATTCATTATTCATCAATGGGCGTTATAACCAATGTTTGATTAGATGTATTAGCAGCAACAATTAAACGACAACAAAGTTACATTTGGCGACCCCGCCATGATATTACCAAGTATTAAATAACATGACTTGGTAATTTCGTACTCAAATAAAAATTAAGTTTAGGTTGCAAATTTGCATAAGAATTTCAAAATGTAAGTAACCGATGCATTTTAAGAACAAGATATTATGTGGATATTATGTGGATATTATGTGGATATATTCAACTTTTAAAATAGAGTAAGAGGATCCTGCATTATTATAGCGGCAGTTCAACAGCATATATTACAATAAAAGTATTCGAAAGCTAAGCACACTGTCATTTTGTACCACGTTCAGGGTTAAATATGACGTAGTTTCTTTAAAATAAACATATGGCTTATACTAAAAGTAAAGCCTGCTATACAGATACTGTTATTCTATCTTTTGTTATAATTTGTAACTATAAACAGTATAAACATTCACTAATAATTTTCATCGAGCCCTTAACTTAGATTCTTAATAGTAACAGCATGGTGAAATTTCTTTTTGTTTTCTGAATTACTGAAGTCATTTATAGTGCCAAACTTCATCAGCTGGTACTTAATGAAACTTATTTCAAAGTAACCGAACCTGAGCACCGGGTTACAATCATCATAAAATTTCACTTATATTGTCGATTCCTTTCAAATAACTTATATGCCATATTCCTGAATTGGATTAAAACGTAGCCTATTTGAAACCTGCGTGGTGAAATTATCGTATTATGCCAATCGCAGTTAATTGCATTGAGAGACAAACCTCAGACCTAGAATCACAAAAAGCAAAGAAGTAAAATAATTGAAAATGTGCTGCAGCTGGACAAAAATGAAAAACTAATAAATAAACTGATACCACAGCCGGAGATAATGATAATAGGTCCACAGCCCTAGGAACCAAACATCCACGGTTGATCTAAGCGTACGAAATGAGGGACAAGCTGCACAACATCAAACATTAACAACAGGATTTATGTCATCAGCTGCAGCAAAAATTATATTTATATCAGCGACCAGCGTTCCTGTGAGTTGTGACGATGTTAACTCCATCAACCAATGAGGAGTGTCAAGTGTGGAATTTTTACTGGTTAATAAAATTTAGAAATTGCAGTAATCTGCCAAGCTGAGTTTATTAAATTACTGTACAAGCGCAAGGGGTATCAGATTACCAAAGGAACGCAAAGGTCACTGCTTACTCTTGTTCTTCAATTTCATGATCTAAGGATCCGATGATGATCCATGGACGGTTCACCCACAAATGGGCCCACGAACCACGCACTCACTCCATGCAAACGAACGATCATAAATGTTCAGTACAGTTCATAGTTGTCAAAGGGTCGTTCACATATTATGACGTAATCACTTGTTGGCCAATTTCTTTTCGCTTTATACATAGTATAGTGAAATAATGTTATCCAGTATTCAGATAATTGACATTATTCCAACGTTCATCTTAATGTCCGTTCAAAAAAGTTCAAAAAAAGTCCGTTCATTTAAGGTCCGTCCAAGTTAAAGTCCGTTGAATTTTTTTCAAAACTTTTTCCACTTCGTACTTTTTGTCCAGAATATGACAACTATGATAACTTTATTGTGCCGCGTAAGTTAACGACGGAAAGGTCCTCCTTGGTCTGCCGGAGGCACAGAAAACTCTACTAGTATATGATGTAAGATGTTTTCAAGGGTCACTTGCATGGCGGAAAAAGTCGACAAAATTATGGCACTCAACAACATAGTTCATAAGCTAGTCCCCGCCAACATGACAAACTTTTTCCAGCCTCTAGATATTACGGTAAATCGTGTTGCCAAGGAAATTGTCCGACGTTGTTATAGTTCATATTACTCAGGGGAGGTAATGAAACAGTGCTAGGAAAGCTCCACGTGATGTTAAGGTTAACCTAAAGTTGTCTAAGTTAAAACCACTTCACGCCAAATGGCTTGTAAAGTTAACACTGAAATGCAGGACCATAATTATGTCCGTTTATTTAATGTCCGTCCAAATAAGGTCCGATAAGGTAGTCATTCAGGACCGGCTAGAGAACGGGTTTAACCTTAAGTTGTCTAAGTTAAAACCACTTCACGCCCAATGGCTTGTAAAGTTAACACTGAAATGCAGGACCATAATTATGTCCGTTTATTTAATGTCCGTCCAAATAAGGTCCGATAAGGTAGTCATTCAGGACCGGCTAGAGAACGGGTTTAAAAAGTCAGTGTCACGTGACAGTCGAGTTTAGAGTGATTAATCATCATCCCATAAAACACCCTGCTGTACAGTAGTCAGTGTAATAAGCGCCAAGCGCGAGCACAGAATTTTTTTGTCCGAATATCGTTTGTATACTTTTTAAAGTGTGCGGGGGATACGGAATCATCGAAAACCACCGGGTAGCAATTTTCACTCGCTTTTTTTGACACTGATATTATTTGTTTTTGTTTTTGACTGTCAATGTGTAAAAACGTTTTCTTACCATCATCCGATGAGTTTTTTGGTAAAATTTCGATACCAATATTTATCTCATCAATGTGTTATGAGTCCTACACCTTCATATTATGAATTCCTGCATTGGTATGCTAGTTAGGGACAATTAACATTAATACAGGACCATCTGGGAAAAAATTTGCAACAAGCTGATTTTTACAGGAATGTGTTGTCCATAGTGTCAGGAACCACCCCAAAGAGTTTCCAATCTGGATCTGTTGAGCAAAAAAAGTTACAGCCAATTTTCTTCAGGCGCGTATGTCAGCCTGAGGACCGCACTTGAAAAACTCGTAACTATCGTAATAAAGACCCCCAGGAGCACCATAGGGGGTGCAAAATGACCGCAATAGTGACATTATGTGGGGCGAATCAGTGTTTTAGGGTCGTCAGATCTTTACTTATTGAGATAATTTCGTTTTTATAGGCTAACCTCTCAAAAATTTACTAAAATTTGGAAATTTTACTTAAATTTGGAAATTTAGCAAAATTGTTGTACAATTAAAACATTGTCTAGTTATCAGTATTCAAATTCTAAAATTTACTTTCAATTGTCAATTGATCCTTATATAAGTATAGTAAATAATATACATATCACATCAAATTCTGTAAAAAAAGGTCCTGAATTATTAGCATGGTGTCTTTGATTGGCAACTATTAGGTCACTTCTGGCTATCCCATTTCCTCAGAGTTGTTTGATTCTCCTGAATCGTCCTGTCTTTCGGGTGCATTAGTGCAACTTAATCCATGACATTGGCCACATGCAGGTAGACATTTAAAGCCATACTTCCGGCAGGAACACCTTAAGTACTTACAAGGGTTCTCAACCTCCACCGAGCAATTGCAGCAAATGAGGTTGAGCATCCCTGCCGGGGCAATCGCAGCTTTAGTCGGGATTGGCCGGTAGTATCCTTCAGAACTCATCTCCCATTCATAATGTAGTGGATTTAGACTTGCAGTGTCGATTGTCACCCAGTTATGGTACTGAAGATATGATCTTAATATATGCTCAGTCGCAGAGGATGTAGACGGTGGTAGCCTTGATGGGTTGAGTTTTTTCTTTGCTATCATTCTACTGTAGCTGAGAAATCTGAGGGTTTCAAGTGCCTTGGTTTTATCTCCATAGATATGTTGAAACAAGGAGAGGCCAGCTTCAATTACTTCATTTGTTGAAACTCTCAGAGAGTAATGATGCTAAATGACCCTCCTCATGAAAAGAAACTGCCTTTTTCAATATCTTCACCTTACAAAAGCCATGTATACTGCTGACCGTGTCACATCCTGAGAAACTGTGAACAAACAGTAATATGCGTTTTATGTTGGCATCAAGAGCATTTACTATTTTACTGATCGAGTGTGAGCCGTTTCTGGTCGTCATCACAATTTCATTGTGATTCTCAGTAAAATGATGAATAAGGAGGCAAAGTATATCAGTATCCTCTGCTTTTACCTCAACATCTTCGTAGAAGGACAAGTTTAAAGCTTTACTAGCTACCATGGTATCAGCATCATCAGTAGCTACATGTACTTCAATTCCATGTTCTGTAAAAAACGTTCGACAGAAGCTTTATAAGCTCATGCTTGTTCTTTGAGTTGCTGAACAGTTTTTTCATCGGAACTGTGCATAGCAATCAAACACAACAATCACTTTCCGCTGTTCGGATTTCGGAACTAGCTTAAGGTATTCATTAGCTATGTCGCCGTATGGTTCAAAGCCTGTGAACGAGGTAACTTGATAGAGTAGCCATCGACCATCAATTATTAATGGGGAGGATGGGTTGCTAAATGTCACAGTACAATCAACAACATTCTTGAGGTATTGCCCAAGGGCTGCCTTGTTTGCCTTTATCATCATCTGCTCATTGTTAAAAAGACTCATCGGCATTGCTGTGAGCTCATATTGCAAGCTTTCCTCCAGTGTAGACTCTCG